AAGAGAAGAGAAGAGAAGAGAAGAGAAGAGAAGAGAAGAGAAGAGAACAGCAGCACAAGCTGAGAAGCTCACTATTGAGAAGGGAGAAAAACCGGTGGAAAAGAAGCAAGGCAAAATAACGAGCAGGGAGGCGAAGCTCGATACGAATCCAAGCACACAGCAGCAGCAGCAGCAGCAGCAGCCGTAGCCGTAGCCAAACGATGAGGGAGGAGAAGCTCGACGCGCAGCCAATCGCACGAAGCCACGGTGTAATTGAAGGAAAATTGACTTGTCCCAGGGGGATGTCGATCTGCGGGGCAGTGACACGAAGTGCAATTCAAGTGGGGTTCCCGTGGTAAGACACTGTCTCGAGAGCGGTCCACCGGACAAGTGCAAACGGAAGTTGTCAAGTGCTATGGCGCGCGCAAGCAAGCGCTTGCTTTACCAGGCTTGAGACAAATACGTCAGTCATGTGCACATAAGAGGTGAAACGCTTGAAGCACTTGCCGCATGAGTGCCTTTTGATAGGACCAAGAGATCATGATTGGCATCATCCTTTGCAGGTGACCGTCAACAGCATCCATTCGAATGCAGCTATGACCTTTTAAGCCTGATGCCTTTCGTCTTGAAAGAACGTGATTCTACTTCCGTCCAATGCAGTGCATGTGCACTTTTGTTCGTCTTCACGTAATATTCTTAGCCTGATTCTGTACAGCGGGCGATTGCAATTCAATACCTGCAGAGGAAAAGAGCTTTAAATATACATGTCCGACTTGAGTCATTTTAAGTATCGACCAGTGCATTTTCATACACAGGGGGTAGGAAAATTGTGTCTGTCTTGTGTTTGCTTTTGCTTCCTATCTAGCCCCTGTCTTTTCTCACCTCTTGTATGTACATGACTGACGTCTCAAACCTGGTAAAACAACCGCTTGCTTGCGCGCGCCATAGCACTTGCCACTTTCGTTCATGCACGTCCTGTGCTCTGGAGATAGTGTCTTTCCAAGGGAATCCCACTCCACTGCAGTTGCACTTCGTGTCACACCCCTGTGATGAAGAATCGCCTTTCGCGACCCCAAGGTCTAGGCGTGTGGTGTGGGCGGAATCTGCCCCGAAGCTAAAGCTAATTGAACTCAGGTGGCTTAAGCTACCTTTCGTGACATTTTTTGTCAGTTTTCGCTCCTTAAAAACAGTAAAAATGAAAACAAACATGCTAGCAAATGCTGGGTTGTGCGCGTGGCTGGAACATCGAACCGTATATATCATATCATAAAGACGATGCTTTGTTGCTTTGAGCCCCAAATCCTCCAGAAGCTTCTGGCCGAGCTCTGCGGTAGAACATTTTTCCCAACCTCAGTGCTGTTTCAAATCGTTCAGTTCTGCAAGCAATGTAAGTTGAACTGAAAAAAATCAAAGTAGGCGCATATATCCAAACATCAACAGGAATTAACCAAATCAACCCACTCCACTGGCCTCCCGCTCTCGCTGCCACCAGTGCTTCCTTGAAATCTGCCACCCTGGCCAAACAAAAAGCGGTCTGTTGCAAGTACAGTAAGCAGTTGGTAGTCGGTGCACACCCTGCTGGTCCAGCCTGGTAGCTCGATGTTCCGTAGGAGACTCCAGTTCCAGCATCGGGAAGCTCCGGAGTACGCTTGAAGTACTTCAGCAACAAACGGCGCAACCTCCTCCACAAAGATCCACCAGTAGCAAGTGCAACACTTGACATAAGGCCTGAGTCACCTTGGCCACCGGTGTCACCCATTGGGCCCTCTGGAGTGAGGCGGAGGATGTCGGTTTGAGATGCATCAGGAATCATTCGAGGCAGTAGAACGAGAGTGAAAAAGGGTGCTAGCGACTGAAGCACTGCTGCAACCCAAAGGCGATCAAAGCAATGGCTGTCATGTGCTGTGCCATCTGGCTCAACCCCAAGATAGGCAAGCAAATATGTGCCAAAGATTGAGGCAACTGCGCGGCCCAAATTCTGGCAGCCTGCAAGCAATGCAAACATAGTCGCTTCCAATCCCTCCGGACAGACCTGACATAGTAGCAAGCCTCCGGGAACATAGGCCCATCTAGCGAAAACATTCTGCAAGACTGTGCCACTGAGGACAAACAAATCATCCGGAATGCCCCATTCCACATTCCTTCGAGTAAAAACAAGAACACTGCCAGCCGATACCAAGGACCAAAGAAGGTTGGAGGTGAGCAGGAGATTTCTATACCTCCAATTGGTCATGAAGTGATTGTAGATCCACAAGCCCATGATTCCAAAGCAGCTGGCAGCAAGGCCAAGCCCTGTTGTGTAGAACCACACGGAAAAGTGAGGTCCCATGGGATACGAACTAGCATCATCAGTGAAGAAGTAGAATGCACCTCCTTCGACTGATATGGTAGAAGTGCTTTGGAGGAAGAAAAACGCATTCATGAGGCCAATCGTCGGGTTCAACAGGCAGCCAAATGCAAGGATGATGGCAAGTGCCACAAATGCAATCAGCTTTAGTTGAAACGAAGCTGCTGACAATGGATCCAAAGGACTTGGCTCAGTGACATCAGTGTTGGTGGCAACATGGAGAATTACCAAAGATCCAACACCCATCGCTGCCACCAAGAATGGAATCTCTCCTCCTCCATGTTTGGCTTTGAAGAAGGCTTTCCGACGTAGCGCCGCTTCATCCTGTGGACACAACGGCTCACCCAGCCAGTTCCCAAATGCAGGAAGGAATGCAAAGAGCGTGAAGGGCACAGCCAACAAACATGGCCCATGAGGACCCAGGTGCTCCAAGACTGAACCCACTGTGCCAATGGCAAAGGCTTCTCCAATTGTTTGCCCACCGGTCACAAATGCCATCAAGCTGGGGCCTTTTGTCGGAGATTTCCTGATGCGTTCTGCAACAGCAGCCTCTAAGAGAAGATCGCAAATGCAGATCTGGAGGCCGATGCAGAAGAAGGCAACAACAATAGCCGTCTCAAAGTGGATCCCCAAGCGGGTCAAATCAAAATGATGATACAGACCAACGAAAGCACAAGCTGGACAACCCACAAGCGTGCCCAGGACGAAGTATGGAGCTTTGCTCCGACCAAAGACCGGAAACATGTCGCTGGTGATTCCAAGCATAGGCTTCAGAACCCAAGGCAAGAGAGCAACTGTCTTTAATGCTTGAAGACGCGGACCCCTCTCATGATGACTTGCCAAGACCCAGTCAAAGGATGTAAAGACGTACATCAAGACGAAGCCCTTCAAGAGATGATGGTAGTAGAACACGGTCATCAAGAACGGCCATCCAAAGACATTGGTCAGGTCTGCCAGCCAAGACCACATGCTGCTGGAATCTAGTCCTTAAATGCAGGGGCCAACAAAATTGCTTCCCTGTACAGCAAACTTGGCTTGACTAGCCCCCACGAGCGCTGTTTACAGGTTTGCCGTCTTCGATCTTGAGTCCTCTTGTCTGATCCTTTATCGAAACTTCTGAGTCAAGTGTCCTGGATGATCGAGCTGACGCACCAAAGCAACCAAGGGTTTGCGCACGAGTGGAACTTGATCCGAAGTGCTCTTTTGAGGCATTGTCCACCAACAGGGCATTGACTCAAGATGCTCAGATATGCTCAGATGCTAAATCTATCAAACTAAATCCACATCAGCTATGAATCATGACGCATTTGTCGTGATCATGAATCATGTGTCACATGCAAACTCAAGAACCAAATCCACATCAGGTACATCCAGCCTTCGAGAAAGAAAACCATTGACTCGGATCGTCTGCGCTCGGCGGGCCCAACTACTGACATCCGAGCAGGCTAACATTTTACTCGAGTGCTGGACAAGCGCGGCAGAGCAACAAAACATGGAGGACGGCAAGTGAGCGCACGTGGTCGCAGAGTCACACAGTTGTTCTTTGCAGAAACACCGAAACGATAACTTGAGCTGCTTCTGTCGGTCACACAGCTTGAAAGACTTGCTGTGAGTTTGACCGAGGTGAGCTCTGCAGTGGCCAGGAAAGGAAACTATAGACCGAAATGGCCACTATGACGAATTCTTGGAACGCGTGCCAAGAGGACTCGGTTGTCCAAGTCCTCTAGCTGCAATATGGCTGGGGGGTCCTTCAGTCCTTAACTGCCTTAACTGTAAACTGGAGGAGACAGCAGTCGACCAGCAAGCTGAGACCTAAACTCTTCTTCTGCTGCAGGCTCACTTCAGAAAGCATCCTGTTCATCTGGCAAAAAAGAAGCCATCCTGGAGCCCGTCTCTGTTTCACCAACAGCTGTGCTTTCCTCAGAGCCGTCTGAAGCTTCAGCCAGCATTTGCTGCACACGAAGCCAGCCAGCATGGTGGCCACCATGAAACCTGAGACCATCTTCCACGCAAATTCCACTTCTTTGGTAAAATCGCTTCCCAGCCAGGTGGCAAGCACTTCAAAAAGAATCTGTTCAGCAAAATGGAAATATTCAGCCTTGAGGCTGTAAGCAGCATAGCGGATACCAAGCTCTTGCAGCATTGGTGCCAACTTTTCTGCATCGTGAAACGCAGCAACAGCGCTTCCTACCACTGTTATGAACTTTGCAAATAGGTTTCGGAGGGCAGGAGAGTGTGTAGGGTCTTCAGTTGCAAGCAGAGCTTCGACAGCGCTAGTCCAGCTGGACTGGTGGATACATCAGCTATCAATATCCATTTTGCCAGTGGTCGTCATACATGCATGTGGAACAGACAAGGATGGGTCTGTGCATTATAGGACTTGCACGTTCCGTTCATTTGATATTGGCCACTTCTCACAGTGGCTGTTGACCTTACCCGAGTTCGCTGCTAGACTTTTTTTTGATCGAACCAATCTGCAGCACCTGCGGTTGTACGGGTGCGGGGATTGCACTTGTGCGCTTGCCGGACTTTGGATGCACCTTGATGGGGTTTGCTCCACGGCCCCAGAGTGGCTAGTGAGCTAAGTCACCTGCACTATTTCTCAATCATTGCCTGCAAGACAGTACAAGCATCCATTGCCCCAGCTTTAGCTTTTCCCTGTTGGGCGAGGCTTCAATCGAATCTAAGATCCTCACCGTCAAAGTGGATCGGCTGTTGAAAAAAGAAGGCCATTCTCTGCCAAAGAGCTTTCACAAAGCCACGTCAAATTGGACTCGTTCCAATCAACTTTTCCCAAGTGTTCGCAAGCCATTCAACTAAATGCTTTGTGCTCAATGCTCAGAAAGAATCTGTTACTTTTTCAGTCTGCGACGCCTTCGAAAAGGGATCCGGATTGAGAATCAAATTAAGATCATCCCGATTCCAGCCACATCTAGTGCCAGTTTTGGCACGGAGAAGTGACAATCCAATCTACACCTGAGATACACGCTGGCGCCACAGTGTTGAGTGCAGAGTGCATAAGGTAGATTATTTGCTTGGAAAGAAAGCTGTGGGGCACAGTGTGACCCAGGAAGTTCCTGTACAAGCATTTGGCAGAAAAAAAATTGGCCTGGAGGAGTATTCTACTACGCTGCTACGCATCCTAAATTGCTGTAAATTCACCTGTAAGCTGAGCATTCCTCAGCTAACTTGGAGCATCCTTTGGAGCATCACGTCGATGTCGAGCTTTTGCACGTGGCTTGCGGTATACTTTTCCTTGAGCAAACTCAACTCCGAAGAGCGTGTAAAAAAGCACTCTGTGGGACTCTTTCTCTGTGACACCATATCTAGTAGCAACGCAGCACACTGTCAGCGTTGCTGAAATGAAGCTCAGCCGCCAATGTTCTCTCTGCTTGCTGGAGTAATAACGACAGATGCTCTTGGGGTAGGCACCAAATCGGCTTCCACCTTGCAAGCAACTGGTGCATGGCAAAACGGGCATCACAAACCCACACGGCTCTTCCAGGCGCACGAAGATGAATGTTCGCTGCTTTGCCGCCAGCCCAAACAAATCCACCGACATTACCTGCATAAATAGCCCACCTTGCTTTCCAAGCCTTGCTCTCCATCAGCCTGCACAGGATTGCACGTTCAAAAAAAGAAACAGCAAACCTGCAAATATCCCGTCATCTTGGCAATCATCACCATGCAATACAAAAAGAGGGCAGGGAGACAGAAAATATGAGGACTGAGCGCAAGAGAGAGAGAGAGAGTGTGTGAGAGAGAGAAGGCAGGAGAGGAGAAAGGTGTTAAAACAACTTGTGCTGCGGCAAGCCTCGACTCTGCAGGCCCACCGATGGCTCGACTCAGGATCCAACAGCGAAATCCAGCCTGCAGCTTGCTGTTTTTTTCACATGTTGCGAAGTTTGCTGTCAGCTTCATCATCTTGTCATATCTTGTCACTGTCTCAGTCTAGTCTTAGTGTCCAATATGTTCATGCCCTGCATTGCCCTGCTACTATTTCGTGGTCTTCGTGGTCTCATGTTCGGTGGCCAAAAGATCTGCCTGGACCCCCCCGCCTGGTGGTGAAACCAGGCGACCTCGCACCTCGACATGCTGTCAATCTGTGTCTAATAGGACTGATATGGACTGATTAGTCAAGCTTTAGGAATGCTTGGTCGATAAAGTGCTATCAGATCCAATATGATCCGATATGTTTCTCCTACTGCGCACGATTCACAGTCTTTGTCCCATGTGGGCCATGACTCTTGTGGTGATGCGTTGGAATTGATTTCGAAGCGCTTGGGTTCTCACGGGATTTTGGCCACTCACCTCGACGACTTCGACCTTATTGTAAGGGAACTAAATGGAGCCCGTTACAAAACCCCTTGGAATGATCATTTACATGTTCATCTTGGAAAGATGTCTAGGTGTGCCGTTGCTGAAAAAAGAGATTGTGGGCCGCTGGCAATTGTGCCTGCGCGGATGTAAGAGATACCATCCTCCACACGAAATCCGTCTTTTCGACTCATCCATTGCAAAAGGTCATACAATGTATGGTAGAATATCCAGAGAATATTCGGTAGATAAACAAGCTGCTGGCAATAATCGACCGCAACATCAACTCAATTCAAGCTACGTTTGCAAAGCAGTCCTGACCAGCTTGGATATGTGCAGTCTCGGACCAGAAAGTGCTGTCACGAATCACCACATACCTGAGCGGTCAATGCTCGCAGATTGAGACTGAATGATGTATCTGCATGATAATTCTGGAGCTAGGTCGCTGACTTACCCGGCCTATCACTGCTGGAGTCCTTGCGGAGTCTAACAAGCTTCTTGCGAAGAGTTGGTGTTGTCACCGACTTGCGATGGAAGGCGACCTAAACTAAAACTGAACCACTGCTTAGATGCTGCTCATATCTGCTCGTGCATCACCGACTATATCTAAATCAAGAAGAAGGAAAGGCCTCGCACATGCTGCTCTGGTGCCTGCGCAGCATACACGGAGAGGGGGGGTCTGTGGGATTCAGCAAACTACCTCAATCCCTGCAAAGGCTTCGCAAAAGTCACAGACATCAGCTCCTCGGCGTCCTGCTAAGCTGCCCATAGTGAACTGTTGAAATACCAACGCGAAATTAAATGAGGTTACATATGCAGTCCACAATCCCAAAGTGCTCCGCTATGCTCCGCTCCTCGAAGTCTTTCACTTCGAGATCTGTCGAGCGAGATGCATAGGATCCGCCGCCATGGCCTTCGTCCTTTCCCTTCGAGTTGGTCGAAGTGACATCGACCAACTCGTCTACATCTCGCATATCTCGCTCCGTCCAGTGAGAGGACGATTTCGATTTCCAGGAGCGCACTTCCTGAGGATCCTCGGGTGAAGATCGATTTGAAGCTCCCTTGGAGCTCTCTGATTGCCAAGAAGGCATGCCATCAGCAACTTCATCGGCAATGTCTGGCTCGATGGAAAAGCCACGAGTAGGCTCCTTGTGGGCAACATCACTTGAATCAAAGCTATATTCTTTGCCGATGAACAGTGTAACAGGGAGTAAACTGAGAGTGCAATTCTCTAAGCCCAAGACGTTGTTTTCTGCCACCTCAATCTCGGGCCTCAAAAAACCACTGCACTGCGCATTAAAGACCATAGAAAACTCACGCACTGCTAGAATTAGAATGTTGCACACATTGCCCACTCAGCTATGAAGTGCCCAGCCTTCCACTGCTTTGGTATCTGGCCTGTCGAAGAAGAAATCGCGCATTTGTGTAATTTATTCATTGCAATCGAGCAGAGGATGGCGTCAGCAGAAAATGCATGGCCTGCAGCAATGAAAGTGTTTTATTTGTACCTGGGTGTTCCACGAGTGTGCAAAGCTGTTGGTTGATGGCTACACACGGAGCAGTCGGTTTATTTTGTTTATCAAGACATATCAAGACTTCATCCGGCAGGCTGAGCCATCAACGACTGAGCGTGTCTTCCATCAATTTGCTGGTTGACTTGCGTGGATCGAAACTGTAGCAAAGCATGTCTCCTCCCAGGTTCCAAGGTTTGCTTCGGATTGACGAAAGTGCGGTACACTATGCGAGCATGCTTTGCCTCCTAGTGTAAACAACCCTGCCTCCTTTAGAAACAACTCGCAACCCTGAAGATGTGCTACATCGTCCACTACCTTCGTTTCCTACCCAAAAATCGGACGTACACAAGAGCCTTCTTTGGCAAGATCTTCTTTCGGGCAGCTCATCAGTCCCATAGAGTGTTTCACCTCACATGATGTACTAACGCAATGGATGTCATAATGCACTTGACAGGCCTCTGCGCGAGCCCGTGGATAGTGATCTCCGCAACATCACAGTATATTCATGTTCGGCAGTTCTTCCTTCGATACATTCAATCAAAAAGACAGCGTTCCGCGTTCTTTGCTTTGCTGATCGGTAATTGGGTCAACCTTGTCGCTGAGTCTGTCTGAGATGTTGTTGTACCTGTATGGCTTCTGTCAGTATTTCTTGTTGAGCTAATTTGGGCAAACGCGCCAAGTCTTTGATGGGCCATGGCCAGTCAAGACTCCTGTGATGAATTTGAAGCTAGCTGTCATTGAATCCAATATCAAGCATGTCCCGCTCTTTCATCAGCACTCAGTCATGGGCACTGGCATCTTTTTGGAGCACACGTCCCGAGAATTGCTTTGTGTATATAAGCTAGACTATATCCCACTCTCTAGTTTTAGAGGTGGTGCACCAAGTTGTCCACGATTGTTGCGGACCAGAAAATGCATCGAAGTTCAGAGGCTTCAAAACTGTGTCTGAAAAAAACAAAAAACAGAACTCGGCTTTGAAGAAAAAGAGTGGAATGTAGCCTCTTGGGGTGGGACAGGTGCGATGAAGCGAGGTTGAGGGCCTTATGGTAATGTCCAGAAAGTGGTGGTCTGCGCTGTTTCTTCTTTTCCTTATTCGATTCAACCAAATGAACCCTCAGATCAAGAGGATGCACCATCCAGGTTCGGGCCTCACATGCTCCGGTGCAACTGCCTAATTTATGACCTTCAACCTGCTGACACTCACTATATAGTACTTACTCAACCAACTTCAGATTGGAGGTAAAGAGAGATGCTGATTCATGTAATTTCTAACAAACCAACACAGACCCACAAACCACAGCACTGTCCAACTCGAGAACTAAGGGATCAGCTTTGGCTCGTCTCACTGGGACTTGGCGGGCTTGCAGGACTCGTTGCATTCGCTCCATTTACGCCTCGGAGTCGCAGCTAGCTAGTATTTTCTTGCTAGAGCAAAATTCACTGGAAAAGACTCCGCAGCACTTTGTCGGCATCTAGAGAATTGTCTGAAAGGGAGTCTCAAATTGGAAAAACTAAAGAACTTTAGGCTTTGGAAACTTAGGCGTTGGTTTCCCCGCAGTCCTCTGCTGAATCAGCAGCCCCTACCCTTACACAATGATCTTGGAAGGCTAAGCGCTTTCACGCTGCCATTCTAAGCCTCGTACTTATTGATGCATTTTGAGGATTCTTGGTCCTCAATGGCAACCTGCCACATTATCCAAAAACATTGATCTGAATTTACTCAGAGAATCACCACTGGGAGGTGCATTGATGAACTTTTGGAGAGAAAGAACTTTTTTATCTTGCCATGTTTGCCTCGCACTGAGTTTGAGCCATCTGTGCATCGATGGCACTTGGCACTCAAGATCTTTGTACAAATGTTTCCCCTCATTCTTTCTCTTTGGGACTGTGAAACCAATCGCCCTAGGGCCTTAGGGCATCCGCTTTGCCCCTGGTCATCCGCTTTGCTTTTGGTACTCACTCTGAAATTCTTTGATGAAGATCGTGGCCGCATGCCCCAAGGACCGACAAACTTGACCCGCCTTTCCTGCTGTGGTGCCATCATCTGGCAGCTGAGCACAGTATGCGCCCGCCACAGCACCGATAGGAATCCCAAAGGAGCTAACGATTGGCAAGTTTGTCAAGCAAAGTCCACCAGCCACAGCACCAATAGCTGATGAGCCCAAAAGGATTCGCACACCTCCAGCCCGATCGATGAGATCAGCAACACTTTGGGGTCCAACTAGGAGCGCTGCAGGTGCTGGTCGTCCAAAGCAAGCCGTCAGGACAAGAAAAACCAAGGCAACCGCGCACACCTTCCGCTGGCGCCCTTTGGAACGCAACATCCTTCAGTCTAGTCTCTAGTCAGAATTGTTCTACCTTCTGTGCCGTCTATCTTCCATCTATGCTGTGAGAAAAGCCAAATGTTTGGACGGAAGACTCATGAATGGTTTGATACATGCAACTCATTCTAATGGGGCATATCAAATGCATGCTGCATATCTATCAGCTCAAGCATGGCTAATCTTCTCCAAGGATGCAAGAGGAAAACAGCACACACACAAACACAAAACCTAGAAACCAAAGGCGTCCAACTCAGTCGGGGTCACGTGGCTGTTGGAATGGTGCGCGTGTCTGCCACAGCCTTGGCAGCCTTTCGTCGGTGCATACATTGCATCAAAATCGATTAAAACCGGACAACTGTTTCAACCTTAACAAGTGAGCTCTCTGGAAATCACAAACCCCAACCCCACCTCCTGTTCGTTCTGTGGCACTAGCAGTAGGAGGTCATCTGGCACAAGACACATAAAACATATTGAAACCTTCCAAAATCCAATTGGAGGTATCCTCAACAAAGGCAGGAGGTTGCAGGGCGTTGTATTGTCAATGAGCATCTTCGATGAAACTCTGAAACAATTCTTGGCAGGAGCGGCAAAAAAGAACAAAGAAGCAGTCAAGGACTCCTTTAGTAAGGCCCGTAAAGTGGGCCTTGTTAACTGAGTCCTGGAGGCCATCGCTATTAGGTTGGAGGCCATCGCTACCAGGGTGGAGGCCATTACAAGTAGGTTGGAGGCCATCGCTATTAAATGAGTCTCTACCTTACTTTTTTTTGCATCGTTCGGTTGATCCTCGCCTATGGAGTCAAGGATCGCTTGGATGCTTCGTCGGGCCGTCCGGACTGAGGCTGTCGGCACTCGATCCTCGAACCTCTGGAGTTCAGGTTTCAAGAAAAGCCATTAGTCATTCATACTGATGTCAATTCATGCTATATGCATGTCTTGATACTTGCTACAGTTGGTTATCCTTTGTTTGCATCGGTTTTGCTTGCGAAGAACAAACCAGCTGGAACCCTGAACAAAGAATTGCAATATGACAACTTGAATGAAATCCCTAAATGACAGAAACACGATGCTATATAAGTCTATGTCGTCAGGCGTAGATCACCCTTCACATAAAGTCGTGGGTGCCTCGACATCAATAAGCACTGAGAGTCTTCCTTTCGCACAGGACATCAGCTTCACTGAGTTCTCAAGCCCCATATGTTGGGCATGCGTTTGTTGCACCTGGCTGTTTTGTGTCAACTTTTGATATCCCAAGTATCCGTCTTCCAAAAAAACAAACACCCCGTCCTCATCCAGAGCTCGTCTAACACGGTCATACTCCGTTTCAGCCAGCCCCCAGTCGTTCGCGGTGTACTGCAAAGTCCAGCAGTTTGGTCACCCAAGTCCAAGGACAAAAACTGCATATCCGTGACATCTTGGTTTTAACTGACCAAAGGTGAAAATACCAGGAAACAAAAATGAAGAGCATATAATGTCTAATAGATCCTAATAGCATCATCAAAAACACTGATGTGATCCTTCACCCACTGCTGCGTGCGGTATAGCTCTTTTCGGAGTCGCCGAACAGGCTCCTGCCAGTCGTTGCAAATTGCTTGCAGAGGCGTTGACATGCGTGGACTACTGTCTCATCCCAAACGTATCCAAACGAGATTTAACGAGCAACAACTGCAGCAATCCAAACACTTCTGAATACTGCTCCCAGTTCCCCCCGTTGGACGGTCATCTCGATTGATTGCACGCAGCTTGGCGTAGGTCTCTGGATTGTTGACATCGATCTGCGCAAGAAGAGCAATTCGAATCCGCCCATTCGACACAGCAAACAACGGTCATCTTTTTGTCCGCTCCTACTTACAGTAATTAAGTAAGCGGGCCAGACTAGTTCAATTCAATACTAGGCAGACTTAAGCTAATATGGACGCAGGATAGCTCATGATTCTTCAAGAAAGCGCTTGCACTAATCATTTGGCTACTAGATTTTTATGGAAACTTAACAAACACTGCAACATCCCCTGTTACATCCGAGCCTTTTCAGTGCTCAGGCACGAAACCCGTGGGAAATGCAACAGATTGCCCATTGCATTCCGCAATCTGTTGCACATCAAGCATTCCACAGGCAGTGTGCCCCAGAGGCTTTCCATCTCGTAGATGTGCTCAAATGCCTTCTCTTGATGGTACTGCTGTGTTTGCTTAAGACCATAGAAAGCCTCGTGGAATGTTCGGCGCCCTTCCCCCTAACCCCTCATCCATACTTGGATCTCGTCACATCACCTGGGAATACAACACAAGAACTCAATTAGTCCTCACCCAACTGCAAGATTCTCATAATCTCACCAAATTGTTTTGCAAAGCAAGGACTGGATAGAACTGGCAAAACCAAGATACTTCTTGGCACGCTTGGCAGCGTTGCCAGCAGATGCAACGGGCCGCTTGGTGCCAGCTTTGGCAGCAGCCTGGCAAGGCCCAGAAATGTTTGGAGAGATTGCGATTCTAAAAATATGCTTTCGCCTGCTTTCACCCTTCCAAATCATGTGTATTTGTAGAATATACTTATTTAGCCCTCTTCTACAGTACCCCTCCTTGGCGCCACCCTTCTTCTTGGTCGGATCAAACCTCGTGGATGCGGTCAATGGCAACAGCCCTGGTGCAAGGTGACTGAGCCACAAACTTCTCTGAATCCTTGATCTGAACCTAGCGACACACCCAGTGCAACTTGTCAAACAAACAACAAGGTAGCCTATAATATCGATGATCTAAGGACCAAATGGTAACAACCACAGCACAGTGGAAGAGCAAAGCAAGTCAGTCTGAGTGAGCCCATGTTCAGCTTCATTCGAGAGAATCACAAAGGATACAAACCCGCGCAAATACCCTGGCCTTGGCTGCCCCGAAGAACATGTCCAAAGGACGCTGCTTGGTCTTAGACCTTGACTGCAAAAGGAGAGCCATGCGCCATAAATAAATGACCGTATGTCCGTGTGCATATTGATTTGGACCGAAGGGTTGTTAGCAACAAGATGTCATCTGCACAACTATCGATGATGTGCTTGTTGTGTACCTACTCCTTTTTCCTTTGTCTCCCTTTTAGTTGTGACGAGATACTTGGAATTCTTAAGCCTCTCAATATAGCGCTCAACACGTTCCTTGCTGAAGGAACAGTCCTGCCATTCCAGTGAACCCAGCAAACCAATGATTTGGCCAAGCCTTCTCTGCCTTCAAGCATCAGGCACAACACTGTTCGCTGAAGAAACACTGATTGAACCAACAGTGGACAGGCCAGAAGATGTCCGATTCCAAGTAGCCAGCTAGGCTTGCAACCCCCGGTCCTCCACCAGGAATTTGCTAAGGCCTTCAATGTCCGGTTCCTCGAACTTGAAGTCGCACAGGGTGGTGTCCACAGCCTTCAGATTTGCGCACTGGTTCCACAGCCTAAAGATGAGAATGGCCAACAGAATTCTCTACTTCCCCCCCAAGGACCAGCTAGCACTCTTCCCTACTCAGAAATTTGTCCGGGGTTAAGGCTCTCACTGACTGTACGATTCTGAAATACATGTTGGCAGCTGGCATCATTTGGCATCATCATACAGTACACTAGGGCAGCATGGCAAATACTATATATAGGTTTAGCCAGGGAACCGAAGTCAAGCTAGCGTACCATCGAAGAATGAGAACATCCATGAACATCCCACATAATCTATAATATGTACAGTAAGTTCTTGCAACTAATCTGCCTCGCACTCTTTGAAGAACATTCGAGCTGCCTGACAGTGCTCTGCATCTACCAACTACCGAAACATGTAATGTTCCAATCACTCGAAGCCACAGGTTGTGATGCTAACAAATTCCAATCATTTATGATTTATGATGAATGATGGGTGCAAAAAAAGCAAAGCTAGTCCCATTGCGCAAAGATGTCTACAGTATTCTACAGTATTGTAGAATATTATTGTATCAAATTAGCTGCATGATATGAGGCACACCTCATATCTGAAGTTTTCGGGCACCTTCTCAGACCTCAATGTTCGTGCGCAGCAGAACGCCGGCATCGGCTTTCTCTTTTTGGCAGTAGGGTAGGCTGTAGCCAGGTGAGAACAAAGCAGCTAGTAGTAAGGGGTAAGTCTAGCAGCTAGCCAGTAGCTGCTCGTGGAAGCTTCCCTGAAGAACCCCTCAGCATGTTACGTTCGGCTTGCTTCTTGTTACGTTCGTAGCGGCGATGGTGTTCCAACCTACTTTTGTAGCGATGCACCTGGTTACGTTCGGATTGCTTCATGTAGCTTCTCCGTTACTTAAATTGATCCTCGACTCATTGTGAACAGTTGGAACGTCACGAAATCCTCGGTGCAGCGCCCGAGTGCTTCCAAGACCTCAGCGGTGAAACAAAATAAACAAGTGCCCTTCATGGTGTTGGACTTCAGACTGCTGTGATAGACTGGTAAGATGTTTGCAAAGGATAACAAGCAGCAAAAGCGAGGCTCATAGAGTGGAGAAGGCATTATATAGCTTAATCTTTGAGTCTTCATAGCACAACTTCGAACTCTGTGCCCGAGCCGCCTTCTCCAAGGTGCCATGCTGCACCAGTAGTTTGATGGCAGTGCTCGGACCTGCAAACACGTCGAAACGTTCAATCCCGCCTACACCCTGCATGAAATTCCTAAATTCTGTTGCTGCCTACACCCTTCAGTGTGTCGCAGTAGTCACAACCACAGAGGATGCAGAAATCGATGAACTGGTCCATAGAGATATTGAGCCTTCAAGGTTTGTGAAGCAGTCTGCTGCACAGTCTTATCCTTGTTCCTTCCTTGTTCACGTCCTGATACCGAGTAAAGCACTGCTGCAAAGCGAGCTCCAAGTTAACCTTCAGGCAACTACCGATCCCCCACATCAGCAAAAACTGCTTCCACACTGCCCATATTGAATGTCTTGCCTCCAGGATGGTCTTCTTCTGCGATTCTGCAGCCATCAAATTCCTTGGCACAAACCATTCAGCTGCTCATCACGGCTAAGCAAGAACTTCTGAAGTGGGTTGAAGTTTCATTGGTTAAGCAAGGGTTCAGTATGATGGCCACAGGCTGCAAGCAAACTGGCACATTGGTGGCCAATAAGCACAAGGCCTAATGAGGATCTTGGTGCCAAAAGTGAGACAATCCGCATCCTGAATAGCCATGGCTTCTTTGTCAAGTCCACTCTGCAAACGGAGCTGTATTGGATGCTTGGTAGCTAAGTTAAAGCTGTAGAACACATGGGAGCTTGGGAAGAAGAGCGCAAGGACGAAAGAAGCTGCTTGGATTCCACAACTTCCAATCCTCTGTCGCTGCTGCAAAGACCTTTCCATCACGGCAAAGCGCTGCACAAGTCCTTGGTGTTCCCATCCACGCCCACGAGGTCGTCGAGGTCGCGATACGACACAATATGCTACATCTGGCTGAGGCCAATGCGCTTCGGCCTCGCTGGGAGCATCCACCTCGGCCAACTTCAAGTGAAGTTCGTGAAGATCTTGAAACAAGCTAAACAAATCTATACAAGTGTCATGCGAGGATGCGCAAGTGCAATCGTCAAAACAGAACCATGCACTCTGTCTACTACACTCTGCCGCCACGTATGAGCAAAGGAGCAAGCAAAGACTACATGGCTCCCGGTGCAATATTGTCGGATAAAGCCAAATCTATGGTGGGTAAAGGCCGAAGCACGGCCTTCCCTCTGTATGTTGGGCAAGGGCCACGGCCACATCATATCACTTTGAAAATACCAAGCTCGCACCGGAATGAATGGGAATGCACCCACTTTGATCAAAGTAGCATGGATGGTTTCACAGAAGGTATGAGAATGACATGACAACTAATTACATGTGGCTGGTGGTTGAGAACCGTGGTCAGTAAAGGTGGGAATGTCGAGATGGAAATATGAAATATGACATAATGTGACCATGGGAAGTATACTCTAGCATAGAAGACTGGACAAGAATTTCAATCTTCCGAGATTCCTAGCCTTGACTGCTCTTCCAGGGGCCAGCCAGCTTCGCAGAGCTGTGTTTTGAAAAGTAACAAACGATCTGTCGATCAGCAATGCCAAAGGGGCATATGGTTTGGCAAGAGGGCCTTCCCACTCGCACAGGGCCGTTAGACTGTTACTCATGAGCAAAACAAGCAAAACTGTAAGCACGATACAACTGGCACACCCATCAACCGGAGAAGCTTCTTCGTCTCCTTCAGATGCCATCTCACCACTGAAGAGAAACGCTTGTGGAGCACATGAACAACGCGCCTCGTTTTGCTCTTTGGTCACCTTCACAGTGGCCTTGTGAGGGCGTCAAGCATGCGGATGTATTATATATATTATATATATAGTCCCATGATAGATCTTGTCTCAACCCCAAACATCTTTGTACATCATCCAATGTTTTAAAGAAGAAGTGCCACAATGAGCCTTGGTACTTTTGAGAATCTGCTCGGCATCTCCAGCTTCCACAGCGGCCTCCAGTTGAAAATGTGTTTGCCCTACATTGAACAACTCCTGATGGCAAGAAGCAGCAGCAGCAGCAGCAGGTCGTCCAAGTCACCGTCACTCTCACGAGTCCGCTGACGGTCATTGTCATGCCCACCTGCCGATTGGCCTCTGCTTCTTTGCGTTTCTCTCGGCGCTGTTCCAGCTCCTAAAAAGACTGACAAGCCAATCAAGTCCATGTGGAGCATGCGGTATGCACGGATGGTCGAAACAGGACCCATTAACGACACAGCACGGAGCATCAGTTGTCACTCCAGCAACTTCATCTCTGGTGGTTTCCCATCAAAGACGTACACTGGCTTGATTCCGTTCCTGACACGGCATTGGTTTGAAAACCAGGAATGTGATGAAATGTCCTTCTCAGCCCTGAGTAGCGCGCTCCATCAAGCGAATGGTCCGGGTGAGCATTCCAATGATGTGGGAGGTAACCTGTTTCATGCTGGCTCAGCACATCAAATCCGAGTATATAATTACCAAACTGAAATTTGCTTCAAATGCCTGACCCTCCTCATTCGTGAGGTTGTTGTACCTGGAAATGTCTAATAATGTCTACCACAAATGTGAATGATTGCAGGGTTGCAGGCCACTCCACCTGTGGAGCACAGGATTGAGACTACTGACTGACTTCCATCAATCTATACACATCATCAATTCTGAGCAGTGGCATGTCGCACGTCCCCGATCGGTTCTCTCTGATCATTATGAGAAACTGATACAAGCACCTCAGCGGGCATGATCTTTCACAGAGCCGTCAAGCGAAGAGGTATCGTTGAGTCTATATAAACATGTCTAAACGCATGCAAATCAGCATTATGCCTCTCACTGCTGAACATACTGAGTCCCAAAACATGCTAGCATCAATGGCAATGAGCCGCCCCGTGTAGGCTGCCTGGAACTGAAATCATTGCAGAGAGCGGCGAACAAAGCCATAGTCACAGAGCAAAGCGAGACATCGAAGGCAATGGAAGGGGAAGCATGCTCACGATGCTCACAGCAGGCAAGCAAGCCTGGCTTGGAATCTCCTTGATCGCTTTCGGGGCCGCCTCTTGCAAAAACTTTACGAGGCCTCGCTTTGCAAGTCGTGTGCGCGTCGTCTTCAAAGCCGAACATGGCAACACAAAAGAGTGTTCTGTCAAGATAACAGCCTTTGATCCCCATGGCTTCAGGTCAATGTGAAACAGTGAACTTTGTCTGAGCCAAAACGCACGGATCACATTGCAGTCAAAATTGCTCAAAGGACAATATATATAACCTCCGATCCCCTCCCCAAAAGAATAATAGCCCATTGCCGCATTGGAAACCCTCAAAACCCTCAAAGGAACACGCCATGATTCACCAGGGTGGTCTCTGGGGCGGTGTTTCCTGGACTAGATACTGCACCATGGATGAATCAAATCATCATTCAGCAAGTCTACGCATCAGTGCGGCTGATTCTTGTCGTACCTTCTTGTCGTTCAGCTGCTGCAGCTGAATCTCAAAGGAACGCTTGGCCATGAACCTCTGATGAGTTCGTGTCATGTCACTCCAGCCGCCACGCCCATCTTAGTCGACTGGTAGAGATTAGAACCCTCAGTGAATCCCTTCAGGAATCATATCCAGCTTCTGATGTGCACCTGATGATACGAGCTGGTTGGTAGTAAAAAAGTTGGCGACACCAAGCAAGAGAGACTGTGAAAGGAAGGCAGCAGCAACTGCGGCAACATCAACCATTGGGTGCTCTATGGAAGGCACGGCAGAAGTACACATACGTACATAATATGAAGGCGTGACGTGAAGCTCACTCCATGATGTTTTTTAAACCTTTACTGCAATTTGTTGTTAGCCTTTGGTGCCTGCGGTGACAATGAGGGACGAAACAAAAAGAAATCGTGCCTGAAAGGTCATGACCATGCCAAATACGACTTTGGCCAATGCTAGGACGGGTTCTTTCCCAAAGGCTTGCCCTCCAGTGACAGCTTTCTAAGGCTTCAACAACTTGGGCAAGAAGCTCTGAAGGTCTGTGTAGTTGTACTCTGCCCTCGATGCAAAAAGCTGGCAAACTCCCCTTCAAACTTCAAACAAGTGGACTTTCACGGCTTTCAGGGCTTGGCGTTTGCTTCTTGAACTTGTTGGCGCCAAAGAAGCCGCCCTGCGAAAGGTCTGCCGCACTGATCGTCGAAACGCTTCAAGGCGTTTCAGGAATTTATCATTCTGTTATGCAAAATGCAACAAGTGAGCTCTCCTCTCTGGCTTCATACTTCGCTTTCTCGCGGGAGGCTCCAACGATCAAATCTGCACCTGTGATGGTTGGGAATCGTTGAAAACCTTTGCAATCGTGGAAACTGGAGGTGGAGTCTGGTTCGATTAGCTTCACGAGAAAGCGCCATCGTGCTTGTGATGGTCAGTTATAGTGCTATTCAGCTGATACTATTTGCAAGTGCGAGTGCTGGACAGGTTCATGCAAGTGCGCTTAACTGTGATGGCTTTGAGGTGCCAACTTGATTCTGCTAGAGCTGGCCCGCTCAGCAGAGCCTTAGTGAAGCAAAGCGGGAATGCTCAGCGCGTGGCAAGTCCCCTCCCACCCAGTGCCATCTTGGAAGATCACTGCACCCAGTCCAGTCATCATCGAGGCCTCATTCGATCTGCCGTGCGGGCAGATGGAAGCCTTTTCAGCAATCGTCAATCCACTACAAAAGGAGAGAGAGAGAGAGATTGGTTATATGTTACAGGCACACATGGCACATATATATATATATATATATATTATCATAGTGAAGAATAAATACTTGAGGCCGGGGTTGGTGACGAAAGCTAGCATGGGTTCTCATAAGATCTCATAAGCATCCTTCAGCAAGCTGGTGCAGAAAAGAAGGTTCTGTCCAACCAAAGTGTTGAAGAATAAGATGATGTTGCAATGAGACGTCCCAGGGGGGAGTTGAACCCGCGGGGGTGCCTACGCATGAATTATTCAGAGGGTAGGGATTCCATGCCACAGCAATAAACTTGCTAAAGCAAGAGTAACTCCAGCTAGCTGACGCTAGCTTTCGTGAATATATAGTTGCTTCGAATCCAAACCACACTTTCTGCACCACATCTCGCATGTCCCGCTGGCCTCCCGCCGCGACGGACATGGCTGTGAGCTCCTTTCGTTCGTGCGGTACATTCTGTGTTACCGCCAAATGGACACGTTTGCTTGACAACCGGCTCAACATGTACAGTGCCTTCCAGAAAAGACACCACAGCTCAACCGTGGCTCTTTGAATAATACATATGTTTGCAGCGTGCTCTTTAGCAAAAGTGCAGAGCTGAGCCAGCTACTTGCTTGGCTCTGGTGTAAAAGCCAAAGGAACAAGACCTGGTAAAGGTTCCATTTGATTGGGCGTAGGTGCATGCCCCCGACTCACAGCTTTGTCGATGCACTAGCGCACTTCAAAAACAGTCCATCTGAATCACGACTTGGCCTCTGAGCAAAGCTCCCAGCAGCAAAACCTTCAATAAATCAATTCTTACACATGAAGATCTCCAAACAAGCCCGCTACTCTTGCTTGTAAAGCTTTGAGGAGCCAGCAGTAAGTGGTGAGTGCCTCAGATTCGGAAGCCCGACCAGACGGCGATACCCGATACACGCTCCGGCCTCCTCCAGGCCATGGCCCCAGGTGGGCCTCAAGGTGCGGTGAGGGCGCCAAGTCGAGGAAGTGTCGCTTGTCTCATCTTGTCTCAACTCGTTGTCCTCTTGGCTTGGCTTCTTGCTCCTAGCTTCTCAAGAATGCTACGAACGTAGTAATGCCCTTTGTTTCTAGTAGCGATGCCTTGCTCCTAGTAGCTTCTTGTTACTATTGTATGTGCAACGTGTCCTTGAGTCAACTTGAGTCCTTGTCCTCACTACATTCCCCTATCTTCTTTCTGATACAAAGTGTTGGGCACATGGCGCCAACTTTAAGCAAGAAAATGCCTGCGCAGATTGTTCACCAATCAACAGAAAGAACAGTGAACATTCTGAACTGATAGAGAGCGAAATCCTCTACGGAAATACAGCGCATGCAATCTGACATAAACTTTACCAACACCGACTAATGTTTCAAACCGTTCAGGCAGTGTTTGGCGGAAAACCAAGATGCTGCTTGGGGCTCTGCAAAGCCACACTCTCAGATGGCAAAGGCTTTCAATGCCACTGGTCACTCGTGCCTGCAGAAGCACCTTTGGTGCAGCAATCAAGGATTTCGTGCGTTCTTCTTACATCTGTTTTCAAACAGTAAACAGTGGCCGCTCACTGACACTCAAACTGTGTATATAGGTAGCTGCCTTTTGACAACCTATTGCGACATTTTGAGATGTGCATTTCCGGTGACAGTGTTGCGGCTTGCCTATCAAGGCGACCTACAAATGCTTCAAAACATTGTCGACAAAAGTGCTCTCGGGCTTTCCATCTCCGGCAGGATCGTCCTCCGAAGCCGCAACAAAAATCTCCTTGACTTCCATATCATCTGCAATGATTGCATGCCTCTTGCAACGTGGATTACCAAGGGCTTCCATGACTCTTGAATCTGTGAGCTCCATGCCAATCTCCTTTGTGAGTTTGGAAGCACTGTCTCCATAGAAGGACAGAATTGAGCCCTCAACCTTTTGATCCTTTGCCCACGCATCCATGACGGCACTGTCATTGACGCAGTACACGATCACATCAGAGACACCCTTGGACTTCAGTTCAGCCTGCTTGGCCAGGTAGCCAGGTACCTCAGGGTCGAGCATCAAAGAATCAGAATGCCACGTCTTCTTTCTCGTTCTTTCTCCTTTATGTGTTTTTGCGAGGAGTGGGCCGTGAAAAGGCAAGATAAGCTAGGTAGTAATAAGGAAGCTACCAGTAGCCAAATCGCAGCAAAGCGAGGGATTGTTCATCGCTTCCGTTCAACCTTTAGACCTTTCTTTTGTCCTGTAACCTTTAGACCTTTGTTCCTTTTCACCGCAGTTGTGACCTGCATGGAAGATCAGGTCGGAGTGAATGCTCCAGGAAGACCCACCATCACCACCTTCTTGCCACCAATGATGTCGGAAAGTGGTACCTTCTTCGGTGGGAATCCTTTGTCCAAAACCACGTTGGGAAGTTTTGCGCCTTTCGCGATGGCAGATGCGGCGGACGCTGCCTTGGGGGCGCTGTTGCCCATGACTGCAAAGCAAGTGGAGGGGAAACGAACCAGCCAAATGAGCTTAAAATGGCAGCGGCGCACCGTCTTCCAGCGAGGAGCCAAAGCATGCAGATGTCAAGTTATCATAAATGTATATATGTCAGCATGTGAGAACATGTGAGAATTGCTTAAGTTCTCGTGTCTTTTGCGCAAAAACATACCTGAGAGATCCTGAGAGTGAGAAGGGTTGGAGAGGTTGAGCTGGTTCTGAGGAATGGCAAACAACATGCTGCCTGTGGTGTTGCGACAAATGGAGATGGTCAGTGGAATTGGCCAACTTCTATGCTTTGGACACCAAAATGGTCACTTGGATAGAAGTTGCAATCTGTCATTTCACCGTGGTTGTCGCTCAAGCACCTAAATACATCCAACAACTGCTGCCAGTTTGTGTCGGACAAGGATGCTAGAATTTGCTGTGAGTCATTAGGTCTGCCATGAATACTGGCTCAAATGTCTATTTTGTGCCGCGGCTATGCCAGAAAAGAGACCGTTGAAGGCAAGTATGGCTGAAATGCCAAAATCTGGGATGGTAATGGTAAATGCTGTTTCTGCATCTGAAGTCGTCTTTGCAAGCAACACTCTCAGGGCGACTTGAGAGCACTCTGGCTATCTCTTGCTCTCATGGCCCCTGATCACTTGTGCCAGCAGAAGCCTCTGCATCTAACAGCAACCGGATTCCTTGGGAAGTCGTACTGATCCCATCTGTGGAAAATCTTGCCCCCTCAAACTGATACTTACAAGTGCTGCAAAATATTGTACACAAATGTCGTCTCTGGCTTCGCATCACCCGCAGGATCGTCCTCTGAAAAGGCGACAAACATCTCTTTGACCACCATGTCTTCCACGATCATGGTGTGTCTCTTGCATCGTGGGTTGCCAAGAGCCTGCATGACCCCGGCATCTTTCAGCTCCATACCAATTGCCCTCGTGAGAATCGACCCACTGTCGCCGTACATGGACACCATCGACCCATCAACGTTGAGGTCCTTTCCCCAACCATCCATGACGGCACTGTCATTGACGCAGTACACAATCACATCAGAGACTCCCTTCGCCTTCAGTTCAGCTTGCTTGGCCAGGTAGCCAGGCACTGTCTTGGAAGATCAGGTCGGAGTGAATGCTCCAGGAAGACCCACCATCACGACCTTCTTGCCACCAATGATCTCCGAGAGTGGCACCTTCTTTGGTGGGAATCCTTTGTCCAAGGTCACATCTGGAATTTTCTGGCCTTTGGATATGCTGGGTGTCTCAGCAGCGCAAACGTTGTTGCCCATGGGCACAAACGAAAGGACGGACAAGGGTCGACAAATCTGCAATATCTACTGTATACTTGCAGAATGGCTCCTTTGGATTGCACACCGTAGACAAGAAGAAACACTGCCACTACCTTTCTATGAATTCGAGCTTACCATTCAGGAACGAAGAATCAACATACAAAATCTCAACAGATTTCGGATTGCCCATCTGACCATGACGAACTTCGTCTAGATAGAGCTTGTTCAAGTACTATGTCTATGCTCTCCAATAGTCTTTTGCCAGCCTGCGAAACAGTTTCGATGTCATAGAAATTACCTGTTCATGCAAAGATAAGCAACACTCGCAAAGCAGCTGAGCTGTTGCCGGTCACTGGCACCCCTGCAGCAAACTGCAGCCTGTGTATGTCACAGCTGCGGTCTCTCGGTCCAAGTATCTTGGCTCTGACATATGATTGAATGTATTGAGTTACTGTAATTCAGGCAGACGTTCGCAGCGGTGACAGCGACGTGCTCTACAAAAGAGATTCATATTGCAGATGCTTCAAATGTTCTCCACTACAACTAAAGTGCTCTCGGAGCCTATCTCCTGCAGGATCGTCTTCCGAAGTACAAGTAGCAGCAAAGACCTCTTTGACCACCATGTCATCCGCAATCATTGCATGCCTCTTGCAAAGCAGATTGCCAAAGTAGATTGCCAAGCGCTTCCATCACACGTGAATCTGTGAGCTTCGTGCCAATCTCCTTCACCAGAAGAGCAGCTGCAAAGAGTTTTTGTGCTGATGTCCTCTTTGAACCGACAGGATCTTAGCCCTTCGCCCACAGGCCACGCTCTGCCACCTTTTGCAGGGTCGAGGGCAGTCCCTCCCAAGCATCTGGGTCCAACATATGTAGGTAACGATGTTCCAATTCCTGGACAGCCTGGCTGTGCAAATCATCAATCGAAGGAAATATTGAAGCTTATCTCTCGCTGAGGAGCTTGTAATACAAAAACCTTATGATGTTGACTACCACATCTGCACATAACGGTGCAAACGTTCAACACGAACCCGTGGTGCTCATGTGGCTCTCACCTAGAGTATTTATATAGATAGCTGTGGGTCGTGTTCAGTTTTTGATTGGTGTTGTTTGCTTTTGTGTGGTTGTCTTTGCCTGTGTCTCGCTTGATGTTGTTTTTGGCTGCATGCTGCATTGGCTTTTTGTTGGCTTCTCCATATGCAAGATGTGGTTTTGTTGGCCTTTCTTTGCAGGTTTGGGATTGGCTTTCTGTTGCCTATTTATGAATCTATTGTCTAGTTTGCAGAGTTAGATTTTAGATGACTTTAGCACAAGACAAACCCGAACTGGTGACGGAAACCCCTAGTAGCTAATGACTCAGAAACACCACGCCAAAGAAGGAAGAAAGGTTAAAAGTGTCCCTAAAAGTCTAGGAGACAAATGATTAGTGCGAGGGCTTCTTCAAAGAAGCGTGAGCTATCCTGCGACCGTGCTAGTAGCTACGTAAGCTACTAGCGACTCCCTAGCTTTTACTAGCTACCTACCTTGCTCTAGCTACTACCTCTTCCTCGTACTAGCGGCCTACCCCCTAAGAATATGTTCTTATGATCCAATCCGATTGTTGTCGCATTGTTTGCGCCTTGAATCTGATCTTGTGCGACCGCCTCAGCAAGGGCCGCTTGACCTGCGCAGCGAGCTTCCTTTCGCTCACTGGAGACACCGAGGCGGCCAGGTTTCAAAACCCAGTCTCTCTCTCTCTCTCTCTTCAACCCTGACGGCCGTTGATTTCGATTGATTTCGTGAATTGATGTGGATTGCCAAGTTGTCGGCCATCAAGGATGTTGGCTGGTGCTGATGCATGGTGAGGCAACTATCTCCCCCCTCCAGGATCTTTGTGCAACAAACCGACTCCCTTTTCAACCATAACTGTTTTGAGCCTGCAGTTGCAGCAAGTTCTCCATTTTCGGAGCAAGTCTTGCGACACTCGTGCTTAATTAGCACAGGAGTGTTCATCTTTGATCCATAAGTCCACAGTACAGTATAGCTTATGACTTGCAATTTTTGCAAGTTCATGCAAGTTCTCCATCTTCGGAGCCAATGTCGCCACACTCGCGCTTAAATTGGCACACGAGGGCATCAGCGTGAAAGCATGTTCAAAGGTTTAAATCGGACCAAACGCTTCTGTTTCAGACGGATCGATTTTCAACGACTCACAACCCTTTTCCTTAAAATGGACGTCTTCAACCTCTTGAGCACCGAGAGTTTCAGTGCCTTCCACTCCCCGAACTCCTTTCTGCTGAAACCTCTTGCGGTGTCGGAACACCAGCTTGGCAGCGATCACTGCTCCGACACACATCATCAAGTGCAAAAGCAGCACTGGGGTCTCGTGTGGTGGTGCAGTATTCAAGGACGAGGTCGGAAAATGTTGCCGCTGCCGTTGCCTGCTTTTGGCCATGCAGGAAAGACCAGTGAGCAGTGATTTCAATTCGTTTAGAATGACTGGCTCCGGATAATGTAGATCGTATCCGTTTCTCTGCTCATAGTCCCGTGTCACTTTCCAGCGCGGGATCATATAAACTCCATGTTCTCGAGCTCCTAGTAGCATCAGCTTGTGAAGTCTCCGTGAACAGTTATGCAAAGATAGCGGGGAAGAACTGTAGTTGCTGAACCGTCGTCCCTTTCCCTGCTCTCTGCTGTCCACCATGTACTCCATTCCCACAATCACCGTGCGGCTCTTCAAGATGGGGTGCTGGTTTAAGAATCGGAAAAAGTTCTGCACGGAGGAAGTCTGCCACGTCACGTTCCGTCGCAGATATTCGCAATCATGCACACCAGAAGTCACCACCCAAGCTGTAGGCCATCGTCCTGCTTCTGCCACTGCTTCCAACAAATGTAAATCATTTGTGGGATCATTGAGGAAGCGACGCCAGTCAAGGGTGAAGCGCACTGGTTTTTGGCCGAAGGTTGCGTTCCAATTGCAATTGACCTGACTTTTATTCCATCTGATGTTTTTTTTGTCTACTTGCCTTGCATGTGCATTCACAAATCTCTTTAAAGCCTCATCCGGTTGTGGCGTTTTGTCGCACTTGGCGACTTTTTTCTTGACCTCTGTAAAAGTGCCAAGGTTGATCCCCGCAACATGCTTCATAAAGGCTACGCACAGCTGTCGCCCTGTGGAATCACCTGAAAAATAGAGCCAGAGTGGTTTGCTTTGCTCTTCGAGAGGCAAGAGATCTAGGCTCTCCAGGAATTCTTTTCGGGTACAATTCGACGTTGGTTCTTGACACAAACCTGGCACAGGATGACTTTTCTCGCAAAGTGGAAAAAGGGGCAATTAGTTTCCCTTTTGACGGAGGGGTTCCCCATTTCTCAACCAATCTAAAGGATTGATGCAATTGGGAAATGAAAAACACAGCTGACCTGGCCGCGATCCAGGCTCGGGCCACTTTCCACAAAGTGACCACGAGTCGCACGCATTGCCACAGCTATCCACCATGGCCATGGCGCAAGAATTGGGAAATTCAAGGAATACACTGAAACCCTGGGCTGCATTGTGATACTATCAGAAGTTCTCTCAGAAAGTTCTAAAATCCGCGATCGCAGTTTCTCCCTTCTGTTTTCGGAGGCTTATCCTCCCAACATGTTCGGGGAAATAAATTCGACATGCCTGGCACGCATGTTTCTGGCTATGCCCGCGGCCTTTTTGAACTGAAACAGCTCCAGGCCACGTTTTGATGATCCACTGCATGATGCAGTGAACAGGGCAGCTCCATGAATGTCTTCGTTTTGACCAACACGCAACGTTCAGCCCTTCGGCCAAATTTTATCAAGAGCCTTCGATGAACAACAGAAAGGAACCCATCTTGCCAAACGATTTGGCTGTAAGTTGGAGACCATGCATCCCAACTAACAAGTGCCACGCTACTAGTAACAGGTGTCTTACTAGTAGTAACAAGAAGCTATTAGTAACAATAAGCTACTAGGAACAAGTGCCACGCTAGTTACATGATCTCCCGAAAGAAAAATAGCAAAAAGCGAAAGATCCACACCTCCTTGGGCCCGGCGGAGTCAGGCACTGCCTCCAGTCGGTCCGACGTGCACCGTTTACATGATGTGGTAGGTTCATCTTACCCATCATGATGCGTAGATGCATCCCAACCCACTTAAAAGCCCCACTGAAATGTGTGGATGGGTCATTGAGGGGCATCGCAACGTCGTTGCGCATGTTCGAGACCATGCATTCCTGATTGAACGGCCATTGTTCGTAATGTGTATTGCCAGATTGTCGGCCATTGATGGAATAAATGGTGACACATCTTCCCCCTCCAGGATCTTCGTAGTGGTGGGACATGGTGGGACAAACACAAAAGCATAGCTTCTTGCTACTGGTGGCTTCTAGCTACCACTAGCGATGCACTTGTTACTGATGCAAAAGCATGATTTGTGCAACCCGCTGGTCACCTCACCTCGACCGTTTAGAGCCTGCAGTTGCAGGAAATCGGCCTGCACTGAGCACCTTGGTACTTCTGATGCAGCTCAGAAATATATACTTAGAGCTGTACCTCTTCTCGGAGTTTGGACCTCTATATGCCAATGGAGTTTCGTGACTACTCCAGGTGACCTCGAACTCATGTGTCAGCCTTCTGCGATACTGTACTAGTTTGATCGCCTATGTCGAGGGGCATCCTGGAAGAAAGCTCAGGCGAGCACCTCTACTTGTTGGCTCCTCCGCATAAGTCAGTCCGGCGACAATGGCCTGCATAGTCACGGAACTTCATGCGTCCAGCGCTTCAGGAAGTCCAAAACAGCTTTGGTTGGGTCTGGTAATTGATGCACAAATCGGTGGCGACAACTGCTTGTTGTATGGGCACAAAGAGCAGTACACCCGCAAGCTAGAACAGTCACAGTAACCAAAGAGATTCGTGGTCGCGTATCAGACACCCAAGATGAGCTTTCATCTTTGATCCATAAATCCTCAGTATAGCTTATAACTTGCAATTTTAGCAAGTTCATGCAAGCTCTCCATCTTCGGAGCGAATATCGCCACACTCGTGCTGAATTGGCACAGGAGGGTATCAACGTGAACTGATGTGAAATGTCTAAATCGGACCAAACGGTTCTATTTCAGACGGTTCTATTTCCAACGACTGACCGCCTTTTTCGTTAGAATGGGCATCTTCAACCTCTCGAGGACCACGAGCTTCAGTGCCTTCCACTCCCCGAACTCCTTTCTGCTGAAACCTCTTGCGGTGTCGGAACACCAGCTTGGCAGCGGTCACTGCTCCGACACACATCATCAAGTGCAAAAGCAGCACTGGGGTCTCGTGCGGAGGTGCAGTATTCAAGGACGAGGTCGGAACATGTTGCCGCTGCCGCTGCTTGCTTTTGGCCATGCAGGAAAGACCAGTGAGCAGTGATGGCAATTCGTTTAGAATGACTGGCTCCGGATAATGTATATCATATCCGTTTCTCTCCTCATAGTCCCGTGTCACTTTCCAGCGCGGGATCATATAAACTCCATGTTCTCGAGCTCCTAGTAGCATCAGCTTGTGAAGTCTCCGCGAACAGTTGTGCAAAGATAACTCGGAAGAACTGTAGTTGCTGAACCGTCGTCCCTTTCCCTGCTCTCTGCTGTCCACCATGTACTCCATTCCCACGATCACCGTGCGGCTCTTCAAGATGGGGTGCTGGTTTAAGAATCGGAAAAAGTTCTGCACGGAGGAAGTCTGCCACGTCACGTTCCGTCGCAGATATTCGCAATCATGCACACCAGAAGTCACCACCCAAGCTGTAGGCCATCGTCCTGCTTCTGCCACTGCTTCCAACAAATGTAAATCATTTGTGGGATCATTGAGGAAGCGACGCCAGTCAAGGGTGAAGCGCACTGGTTTTTGGCCGAAGGTTGCGTTCCAATTGCAATTGACCTGACTTTGATTCCACCCGACGCGATATTTGGCTATTTGCCACGCTTGTGCATTCACAAATCTCTTGAAAGCCTCATCCGGTTGTGGCGTTTTGTCGCACTTGGCGACTTTTTCCTTGACCTCTGTAAAAGTGCCAAGGTTGATCCCCGCAACATGCTTCATAAAGGCTACGCACAGCTGTCGCCCTGTGGAATCACCTGAAAAATAGAGCCAGAGTGGTTTGCTTTGCTCTTCGAGAGGCAAGAGATCTAGGCTCTCCAGGAATTCTTTTCGGGTACAATTCGACGTTGGTTCTTGACACAATCCTGGCACAGGATGGTTTTTCTCGCAAAGTGGAAAAGGGGGGAATTGGTTTCCCTTTTGACGGAGGGGTTCCCTATTTCTCGATCAATCTAAAGGATTGATGCAATTGTGAAATACCTGAAAAACACAGCTGACCTGGCCGCAATCCAGGTTTTGGCCACAGCGCTCCAGGTAATGGCCACTTTCCACAAAGTGACCACGAGTCGCACGCATTGCCACAGCTGTCCACCATGGCCATGGCGCAAAAATTACGAAGTTCAAGAATACACGGAAACCCTGGGTTGCATTGTGATACTATCAGCAGTTTTCTCTGATCGCAGCCTCTTCCTTCTGTCTTCGGAGGTTTATCCTCCCAACATGTTCGGGGAAACAAATTCGGCCTTGCCTGGCACCCAAGTTTCGGGCCACGCCAGTGGCCTTATTTCGAATTCAAACAGCTACAGGCCAGGTGTTGATGATCCATTGCATGATGCTGTGATCAGGGAAGTTCCATGCATCTCTTCGTTTTCCATGCATGTCTTGGCTTTGCAACGTTCAGCCTTTCGGCAAATTTTCCCCGGGAGCGTTTGCGCAGGGTTCTTCTGTGGAAAGGGTTTGCGTTACAAATCAGCGTTACTACATTTGAGACTTGTATTATGTGTGTGTATGTGTGTATATATATACCCATTTATATAAGTACATCTGCAGCTTGCAGGTGTGGTGTTCTAGAGTTGCCGGGGTTGCTGCTACGGAGTTGGTAATTCAACACCTGCTAGTACTGCAGTAGAATTGGTTTGGTGCTGGATTCTAGCTGCCGGGATCTAGCTTCAGTAGATCCCCGTCTGTACAACAGGTTGGAGTTGGACACTCAATAATATAAAAATCCCTAGGAAAACACATAGTCAGACACGGCACGGTCTCCGTTTATATTATCCTGTACGACAAGTAGCGTTTTTGAGGACCAAAGTTGCTAATCCTTGTGCTCCAGTCTACTTACAACCATCAACAAAAAAGTTAACCGAGAGCATTTTCTAGGAAACCTCCAACCTGTATTTATATTTTTCTGTGCTCTCTCAAGGCCAAATCGAAGAGAACACGCTAAAGGTTCTTTAAAACTGAGACTTCTTGAAGAGAAGAGTCTATTCCATTTCAGTTTTGTTCCACTTGATTTATGTATATGATTTTTGAGATTTATGAAGATATACCGGTAGATGACCAATTGATATCCTGGAGGCTTTGGTATCTTTGAGAGATTTTGTACTCTCTATCATGGGGCAATATGAATTGGATCCTCAAGCTACTTATATCTGGCGCTGTTGCCTGCAGGTGCCGAAGGAGAACGCCGAGAAGCCTGAACCTCCCTTCTGTTGACCAGGCACTTCAGCTGGGCGAATTACGGTGAGGATGTGTCCGTGGAAGTTCAGGTGTTTGATATTGTTGAACGGCAGCTTTGCAATCCTTGGGTGGAATGTAAGGCCCAAGCAAATGGCATCAGTGTGAGACGTAGGGTATACAAGCACTTGGGTGGCCCATTGGGTTTTGCCAGCGATCGCCAAACGTTGAGTTGATTTTTTGTTTTCCCGTCAATTGAACTAGATCCTCAAGATATTTCTGGAGCCGTTGCTTGCAGGCGTCGAAGGAGGAAGCCGAGATTCGTGAATTTCCTTCTGGTGGCCAGGCACTTCAGCTGGGCTGACTGGGGTGCAGAGAGTGTGACAGTTGAAGTTCAGATATACAATTGCAGCTGTTGGCCAACCTCTTGCAACCCGATATTTGGTCAGATTTGCATTTATAAAATCCTGTACAAAGGCAACTAAATAAATTGAAGGTCTTGGGTCTTGGGTAACTAGACTTCAGTTCGAGCATTCTGCCAGTCTGGTCTTGGTCCCCAACAAGATGTGAAACCAATGAACATGAATCTACACTTCCGTCCACGCTCTGCGTCCCGTTTTTCACCTTTTAGCAGGATGCTGCAGAGCAGGAGAGACTGGAGCAGTGGCGACCTCAACTTATAGATCTTATAGATTTCTGTCCTTCGTGGAAAAGATTTTAAAATCCTGTCCACTGGGAAGACTGTGTTTTCTCCCAGGATGGTGCCCAAGATCGCGGAGCAGCAGAAGCCTGTGCAAAGGGAATGTCAGGAGGCGGGCTTGGGCACCAGTGTGTCAGTGGAAGTGGAAGTTCACGCGTGTTATATTTTACTGTCACATGCTTGTCTTGTTCAGAGCATGGAAATCATAGTAGAAGACATGAAAGACGTTGTGTGGAGGTGCCGAAGGGAGAACGCCGAGAAGCCTGCACCCCCTTTTGGTCACCAAGCACTTCAGCTGGGCCAATTGGGGTGCAGAGAGTGTGTCAGTGGAACTCATCTTGCTTTATGTTTTTTTCTGGTATGTGTTGGTATTTCTCCAGCACAGTGAATGAAATGGCGTGAATGACTTGGGGATGACATTCATCTTCTGAATGTGTTTCTGTTGCCTTTGCTTGCAGGATGCGTTGGACAAGGATGAAGACGTGGAGATCATGAAGGCCGAAATTGTCTCTGTGAACAGTTTGTTAAAAAAAGACGCTAGAGGGCTTAGATGGATTAGCATTCCGAGGATAAGGTACATTCAGGGGGATCGGGATCATCGAAATCATTGCAGATTGCGCGACTCTTAATAATTAGAGGGAGGAAGCATGGGGGAAGAGGCATTGCAGAATCAGTATGTGAACATGTCCCGCCGTCTGGTGTGCCAGTATATTTTCCTGAACGAAGGTGTCAGTGTTCCAGTTTATTTGGTTTCCTGGAAATCCTGAAATGGTGGTCTTATAAATCCCTGTAAATATAGCTTGTATGAAATCCTGTTCATCCTTTGTTATTTGGCTATAGGATCCTGTCCTTGGTTCAACATAAAATCCTTATTGTTTTTAACATAGGCATCGGAAACCGTATGAAAAATGGATGTCCAGCTACAGGACAAAATACTGGCCGTACAGACGGGGATTCAGTAGTAGACATACTTTCTAAATATCGCATGTAACTCTCGCTGGGGTTTGTAAACACATGCGCAAAATCAGGCATATGCTCACATACAGCAAAACATCTCTGAGCACGTGTGCATGGCACATCTCGACTTTTTACATATATATCATATATTTTTTCTTTTTTGGCCGGCGCCTTGGCCAGACAGGGTTTGCGAAACGTGACCTTGTGGGGGAATCGTGCGTGTGAAGTGATCAAGCGTGAGGTGAAGTGCGAATTCGCATTGGGCCGGTGGCCGGATGAGCCCTTTGCACATCCTGCATGTCGAGTCCTCAAACAAAGTGCGAAGATGAACCCCCTGTGAAGATCGCGCGTGTCGAGTGCTCAAACGTGAGGTGAAATGCGAGTTCGCGGTGTGTGCTGGATGAATCCTTTGCTGAGATCGTGCACGTCGGATGCCCAAACGTGAGGTGAAATACAATTGCGTTTCCTTTTGCTTCGCCTGCACTTGCTAAAGGCTCCCTGTCTTCCTCTGCGTCCTTTTCCTTCTGTTTCTTTGCTCTCCTCCGGCTCTTTGACAGACTCTGGTGTTTCTCGAGGTAGTTCTCCCACAGAATCCCCCGATTGCTTTGGCTTGCCGAATTCGTCCGCCACTGCTCGCTTTGCTTGCTTTGGTAACCCTAGCGGGGGTGTTTGGATTCATTTGCATTCGCTTTGATTTGGCGGTTTCGATTGGTGAATAAACATCGGTAGGGAAGCCCTTGGTTTTGATCACCCTTGGTTTTGGTTGGCTTCCGTTTGGCACGGGCATTGTTAGATCTTAGGCTGCTGCGGTAGCGTGATCGGCATGCGGCATGGCTTCCACTGGATTTGACCCTGCAACTGCTGCGCCCGGATCCTTACGTGCGACGGGATCCATGGATGGGAGGACCAAACGGATGGACCTCCAGGGGAAGAGACGGGTGAAAGCATTCAATTCATGTAGAAAACCGCCCTCGTGTGCCCCTTTGGTGCCGAGGTCCAGCCATGTTTTTGGTTGGCTCTCCATTCATCAACAGCACTAGTCACAACCTTGACCTAGTTGATTTGAGTAGCTCACCCCGTAGGCCTGACATGAACATGATTTGAGCGCAGTTTTGTAGAGACGTTTGATTTGCCTTTGGCTAATGAGTTCTGAGAAGCCAGTCCTGGCTCCTGGCCATCACGCGAGCAAAGCCCTGCAGGGTCGAGCGCCCTGGCAACAGCAACGACTATATAGAGGTTTGAGTAAAATTTACGGATTAGAAGTTCCCCGCAACATAAAATACATCCTTAGGCTCCTAGGTTGTTTTGCTCGTCCACTCTGGTCGCCTTTCCCGCTCCAAGCCGCCATACTGCCGACGAAGCCACCCAGCGCATGCAACTAGCAGACGTTTTCAGAACCTCAACCAGTTCCTGATCACCCCGCTCGCCGCCACCTGGACGGAAAAACGGAAGGTAATTGGAGCGTTGAATGAGCACCAAGACTAGGAAAGAGAAAAGATAAAAAAAGAAAAGAATGCAAATCTTTGGAGGGGCCTTACTAGGGATGCCCATATTTCTTTATTTGAAGGCAACGGACAAAGTCTATGGGTATAGGAGCCTATTCGGGATGGTCATAGTCAGCCCTCCTTGCCTTTACAGGCTGAAAAGGAACTAAGGGGGCGGACCCACACCATAAATTTTGTCAAATCCAAAATTCCCCAAACAGTGTGGTCACACTAGATGCTCTTACAGTAGGAGCCGGAGTTAAGCCTGGATTTTGATCGAAGTCCCCGCATCCGTCGGTGGCTGGGTCGCTGCTCTTTACGGTGTGTTTATTCACTTTGAGATTGTCGAAGTGCATTTCGACTGCACAAGCTCGCAGATACAAATACTGGTAGTCTGGATTGGCATTCCTGAACGACGCTCTCGTTGGGGCACCGTGCACACTTTCCGGCTTGGTGCGGTCACTGTTCGTGGCACGCAAGGGAGGAGATCGGAACGGTTTGGTGGTGGCGTTCGGCGTGCTCTGATTTCCTGGCAGGTGCAGTGAGTTGTGAACTTTCGGCACGGCAAGTGGTTCGATTTCCGAATTTTGGGAAGTATCAAGCGATGTTGTCTTTGGAAGTGCTCTTGTTATGAATCGCATTGGCAAGGCTGCGCGATGTGAATCTTGATGTGCAGACTTCGTGGCATGCGCAGCACTTTGTGAACCTTCTACCACTGACTAAACTACCTTACTACCTTACTTACTTACTTACTTGCTTGCTTGCTTGCTTACTTACTTACTTACGTACTTACTGAATACTACTACTCCTCCTACTCCTACTCCTCCTACTCCTCCTCCTCCTGCTCCTGCTCCTGCTCCTGCTACTGCTACTCCTACTACTACTACTACTACTACTACTATTACTACTACTACATAATAATAATAATAATAATACTACTACTACATACTACATAATACTACTACAGTTACATAATACTACCACAAAAAAACCGCACACACGTCAGCAAGCCCCTACAAACCCGCCTCCATTACCTTTATGCCTTGCAACTGTGATTCGACAGTTCGACAACTAGGCTCCCGGTTTTGTCCGAAGATGGCACGAAGCGTGTCCCTCGTTTCCACCTGAGCTGACCAAACTTCCTGGTCGAACTTGACTGCTCAGATGAACTTATCTAGTTTGGATCATTTTCTCAACCTGTTCGGTATCGTGGACCTCACGGTTGTGATCTTCAACAAAACTAGAGGGGCGCAACTATACGCTCTTTTGCTTTCGTGCCTTAGATCCGCGCAGTTCTCTACACTGCCGCCCAATACGGCAGATAGTTCATGCACTTTGCGCATGGCGACGCTTCTGTTGGAATTTCCTCATATGAGGCAGCTGGCTTCACTAGTTGCCCGGCCGCTACATAGCACCATCCACACGCCGTTTGCCACCTACTCGGCATCAGCTGGTTGTTGGACATCGAGGTGGCATGGAACTTCAACGTGGCCAAGTTGGTCACCACCGGTGGCCTGAGGTAGGCACGCAACAGGGATTTCACCGAATCCTCATCGAAGTGCGCAACCTTCTTCTGGTTCTTGTGTTCTTCGGCGATCTTGCTCGTGAGCTCTTCCAAGTTGCCAACCTTCGTGACCAACCCTGATATCTGAGCTTGCAGTCCCTGGTGTTCCGCGATCTTGTTGTGCACCACGGGCGACGACTCCCTGGCGTCTTCGATGTAAGCCTTGACCGCTGAGCTCGAATGCCTCGTGAGAACATGATCAGTTCTTCTGGCACTCCGGCTTTCACCCAATGCTTCACCCCGGACCTCCTGAGACTGTGCCCTGAGACGAGGTCCATATCGGTGGTGTCCTTGAGCCAGCCTCGGTCCTTGAGGTAGATGGCGTCCTCCTTGAGCGCTGCAAGCATGGACTCCTTCGGTACCAGCTTCGACGGGTCTCCTTCCTGACCGATCAGCGGCCAGTTGGCTGCAGCTTCTGTACCATGCTCGATGCCTGACATCGCCTCCTGGTGGTTCACCAACACGCCCGCCACGCAGTACGGGCAGACTACCGGCTCCTTGGCATTGCACCTGCAGCCAAGGGTGCGCTTGCAGCCGCGGGCATACTGGTCCGTCTTGGATACCGTGAGACTGATGGTCACCAAGGAGTTCCACTCATCCAGCTCGACCTCGTTGAGCATGCGTGATGCAGCCCAATTCTACCTCTCTGAGGCAGAAGCACGACCCGAGGATCCACACATACTTGCGTAGTGCAGGCCACATTGCGTCTCCGGGTTCTCTGGGAGATGGGACCACAAACACGGTTCGATTTCCAATGCACGACAGGGTGGGCCTAGTCCTCTAGTCAGGCCTCGGCGGCAATCTCGAAGAGCGATGTTGAGGGCGTCGGTCCAGGCGTGTCCAGCACGCATGTGGCAGTCCTTAGCCTCATACAGATAGGCCGGCGCTGATTTGAACCCTGCAGCCCTCAGCACCGAGCTCACAATGCTGAGCTTCTCAGTATCCACCGGCAGTGGGGGCAAACCCCGGGCCGAGAGGATGTCGCACCACAACTTGAATAAGGCACTCTTTGCGCGTGGCGTGCCCGGAGCATACACCACCCCCTGGAACGTGTCCAGAGCAGTCTGGGTTGCCTTGTCTGAGGAAGCGATGGCCAGGGCATCTGCCGCGCTTCCCCTCCTCCGCTTGCTGGCTGCCTCCGTGTGGGGTGTCATAGGGGCACCAGGTCGCCTCCTCTGTGGTTGGCTTGCGCTGACCAAAGCCAGCGGATCCGCTGACCCCCAAGCCCTTTCCTCTCTCGGGATGAGAGCCTCCTCCGGTGCGGTTGGGCTGGCCTGCCCACCAACCCGCTGCCTCAACGCGGCCTGGCACATTCGCCCGCATCGGCCCAGTACATGAGCGGCTTTCCAGTGAAGTATAGCACGGCCCCCATGCCCGGTCTTCAGGGTGTACCAGCGTGTGTCCTGTGGCTGCCGATACGTGTGCTTGAGTGACGGTCCTGCCAAGTTGGTCAAAAGGGCCAGGAGGCAGCGTGCTGCGTGTTCCAACTGTTTTCGAAAGACCAGACCCTTTCTCTCACGGGTTTTCAGCCGTTTGGGCCCTTCTTGTTGCAGTGCTTGAGTCAGGACTGCCCACAACATGGCTAACCACGGGCGCACTTCCGGGATGATGCTAGAAAGCCAGCCTAAGATACCTGTGGTTCGTTGGAGGACCTTCACTGGGATCATGGGTTGATCTAACAGCCCATGAAGCGCCTCCTTGAGCTTCTCGACCTTGTCTTCGGCAAGCTCAACCTCAAACGTGCGAGGGAGCCCCCGAGGGACGGCGAGCTTGACGCCGATCCAATCGAGATCGAATCCTCTCAGGACCTTGCCCCAGGATAGCTTGAATCCCAGGACAGCCCACAAGAGAACGCTGCGCAACATGACGCGCGTGCGATCCATCGAGGATTGACCGCACGCTACGACTATCGGGTCGTCCACGTAGCAAGAAATCCTACATTCCCAATCGTGATGGGTGGCCTGCGCCAATCGCATGACGCAGGCGGCAAGTCGACACCACAGAAGTGGTGCGCTGGCGAGCCCGAACGCACAGACCTTGATGCAGATGTACCTGCCTTGCGTGTCCTTGACGACTAGATAGCCTCTTTCATCTGGGTGGGCTGGCATGGTGTAAAAGGCATCTTTAAAATCAATGCACAGGAGTTCCAACAGATGTGAGTCCGAGTAGGCTAGGGCTTGAACACTCTTCGCAACATCACTCACACGTGGCAACACGACCCGTTCTTTAACCGTCATGAGACCATTGACGGAACTTCGCCTCATGTCCACAACGAGTCTGACCTTCTCTTTGCCATGTGACTGCTTAATGATGCATGCGATCGATGTCAGCCGCGCCTCTGGACCAAATAGTTGGACCACCTGGGCCCAGGTTGGCACGATTTCCGCCCAACCCTCCGCCAGCATGCGATCGAGTTCGTGTTGGGCCTTCTCCCCTGCTTGGTAGAAGGACTCATAGTTGAGCGCCGTCCCGTCCCAATCTTTCACCACCCTACCACACAAGGCCGACATTCGAATGGCGTCCGACACGTCCTCCGTTTGGGGGAAGATGCCAGTGTGGGGAATGGGGTGAATGATACCCAAAGGGAAACCTTCGTTCAGCCACCTTGGGATGACCTTGGCATCGAGATCGTGAGACTGCTCCAACACGGACTGCAAAATGCCCTTTTCGTAGCCTCTGTGCGTGGCTGTGGTGTTGAACTCTAAGGCCAAAGCTTCTCGAACCTGTGACATGGCCTCTGTGGAAAAAGGTGACTCTGTGGGTCGCTGTTGAAAATCTTGTAGCGCCCTCGAAGTCAGAGCCGTATCTAGCACTTTCCTCAGCCGCATGCCGGTGGTGCGAAGGTGTGAATTCCGTGAAACGGCCGCTCTGGGGTTTCGCAGGCCGCCTATGGACCTTTCGTTCTCGGCTTCACGCCGTTCCTTGAAAGCTAGTGAGGAGCTTCGTCTTCTTTGGGCCATCCTCCACCGATGGCTGGGTGCCAGCTGGACCTGCCGAGGACGGCCTCTTCAGGTCGGCTCTGATGAGCACGTGCTGGTGTGCTCCCACTTTCTCGAAGGTCTTCTTCTGCAGGATGAGTGGCTTCGCCTGCAGGTAGTTCTTCAAGGCCATAGCCCATGCCCTGCACAACCCTGACGGGTATTCTGCGGCCTTTGAAGTTTTCCAGACCATGCTCTCCGTGACTGGGTCCCACGCCTTTCCCTCGAGCTTGCTGTGACAGTGCGGCCGGACCTGGCCGCAGGTGAGCTGAACTGTCCTCATCCACTCCGCATCGGTGAGGATCCTTGTTGGCTTTCGTGACATCCCTCTGTAGGCACATTGCTCGAGGTACACTGAGATCAGGTGGAGCCGCTTTGTCAGCCTCTTCGTCTTCGCTGTTTCCCATAGGAAAAAGTCCCAGGGATTCTCGATGGAGATGGTGCAACCTGAGCGAGGAGCTGCCTCCATGAGGACAATCTCGATTGCCTCGAGATGCCGATTCCCCTCTTCTGCGACTGGGTGCCCCCAGCCCTCTGGGCGCTCGTCTGAGCGCACCGTGGCCACAGCTCCGTGTGCGTCCACCCGCCTGGCTCTTGTAAAGCTGCGGCATGGGATGGTCACATGAAGGTGATCTGCCTCTCTTGCCGCTTTTCTGGCCTCTTCGAGACCCTCGGGTGTGAGCACATCCCACCCATCGTAGAGCTCCAAGGGCTTCAGCACTTCCACACTCTCGCCGACCACCTCGGCCATGGCCATCGATAGTCCCTTGAAGCCCGCATAGAGCTCGAGGAACTTGAACTTCGGCTTGCCCTCGGCTGATTGCTGCGTGCCAGGGTTGCGCTTGAGGTCTGGGCAGGGCGCTTGCCTGGCCGGCGCCGGGGTTCGAGCCTCTTGGCCTGGAGCTGGCTCCGGCTGCTCTGCAGGTTTCACAGGCTCGACCTGTTGATGTGTCAGCTTCACCTCTTCTTTGGGTCACTTCTGTGACTTCTTCTTGCCGGCGCCCTTTGGGTTCTTCTTGATGTGCACCGGACATTGGTCGTTCACATGCGACCCCAAGCAATGCTGGCATCGGTGCACCCGGTGCACCCTGCCCTGACTGCATGGTTCTCCGCAGTCCCCTGCCTTGCCCTTTGCGAACTTGAAGCAGATCTCGTTGCCGTCGTAGTCCGTGATGTAGCGTGTGCCCCACTTCTTTGGGTGCTCGCTTTTCGAGTGGGACTCTGCCTTGTCTGCCCCGGTGTCCGGCTTTGCTTCTTTGCTCGGCGGGCTGTCCTTGGTCTTGGTCTCCCTTCGATGACGTTTGGGATCTCGATGCAAAGCCCCCACACTGCCTGCCACGCCAGCCAGCGCAGCTCGTGCATCCTCGGAGACATTGACATCCTCGGCGCTGCGGTTTGACATGCTCTTGCCCCCCTCTGCCCAGGAAGGTGTGCGCCGGCCTGACAACATGGCGCCCCCAGTATTCGGTGTCTCGGGAGGCGTAGGCGAAGAACCCTACCCATGGTTGGGTAGGGTCGAAATCGAGCCCCATTGGGAGTTTCCCCTCGGTAGCCGCCTTGGAGAGCTGGCGACGGTATCTCTCGAAGACCTCTCCACGACATCGGTCCTCGGCCTGCATGATGAGGTGCCAGGCCTCTGGGAATTCTTCGTTGAGCTTCGCGATGTGGTCGAAGTATTCTTCCATGACCGCAGCTGTGACCACCATCTTTTCCGGCTGACCCCCCGTGCTCGGGTGGCGAATCATGTAGAGAGCCGCCTTGAACACCCTCCAGCATGCTGTCCAAGCCTGGAACGATGACGGCCCTGGGATTTCTGTGGCCTTGAAGCTTCCGTCGGGCTGGAAGACATAGGAGCGCGTCCTCATCTGCCGTTGCACTCGCCTTCCGTACGGGGTGAAGATGCTGAAGTCTGCGTACGGAGCTTCGCCCCTCTTCACTATCTTGTCTCTCAAAGCGGCCAATTGCTCGGCCGTGGGCTCGGCTTCGTGCGTGGGTTCTGCACCCGTGACTTCGATGTGGCATGCGTATGCACGATCCAGCTCCGTCCTGGTCAAAGGCTCCACCTCCGTCTCGTCGAGCTGGTCGATGATCGCTGCACTCTTGACTCTTTTGCCTGCTTTGACTGGCGTCGCAGGTCCTGGCTCTGCAGGAGGTGTGACCGTGTCGGTCAGAGGGTCCATGTCTGTGAGTCCTACAGCTTTGCGGCACGCTCTCCAGAAAAAGCCCAACATGAGCATCTCTGCGGCAGTCAGGGAACGTGGATCGGGTTGACCTGGCGCAGGGATTCGCGTGGCGCCCATTGCATGCTTCAGCACGCTTGCCGGCAGTCCAGCCATGTGCCTGACTTGCTCTATTTCGCCCAGGGTGTGGTTGATACAGTCCCAGACCTCGGCCTTCAGTGCACTCCATTGGCGGAAGTCGTCCAATGTAGTCCAAGCCGCCATCTCCGTCTCGGTGGGCAGCAGATTCATGCTGAGGCACTACCCAGTCAGGGCCGCGAAGGCCGTGGGGGCCAAGACAGGCCCCAAGCCAGGGCTGCCAGGTGCCGGGCGCTGGACCAACGGCGGTGGTGGCAAACTCAACAACCAGGTGGCAAAGGAACCGACCAAAGCACCCAGCAGGAAAAAGGCCACCAAAAGGCATTCTAGATACATGTTCTCCTCTGGCTTCTTGAAGCCAAAATGGCACAACAAGAAAGCAATCGAACGAGAACGAACTGAACGAACCACCATGCAGACTCCATGTGCTATTCTTTTTCTTACGCAAATTCTTTGCTCCATTAAAACAGCTACTACTGCTACTACTACATCATACTACGACATACTACGAAATACTACGAAATACTATGACTACTACTACTACTACTACTACTACTACTACTACTACTACTACTACTAGCCCGTACCAGTGCCACTACCACTAGGACAACAAAAAGTCATCGTTTCACTCATCATCATGATCTTCTGAATACTGTCCGTGGTCTCTTGCCGGGACATGTTTTTTCTATGAATCCTTACAGCTTAAGTAGGCTTAAAATCTTCATGTCACCCTGACTGCGGGTCTGTCCGCCTAGTGCCAGTTGCCCGTCTAAACTTGGCTTCAATTAGGAGCCCCAAGAGAACGCCTTTATGGTCTTACGGTCTACCGTGTACTGTAATGGCTTGTTGCGGATGGGAGGTGAGATAAAGGCCAACCCCGACCCTTGTACATACATTCATCCTCAAGTGAATGTTCCCCATTTTCCCTCTACCTCCAAAGTTGCATCCTCTCCAAAAGGGCTCTACGTAAACACCGCCTGGTTGGGAACAACAATAGAATAGTTTGCATACACCGACACCATGGACATTCTTGCCTTTGGATCTGCTTGGTCTTGGCAGCGCAAAACATTGGCAATCGGCACAATGCGAAAGGGTGAAAATCTGCAAGACTTCAAAGTTGCAGAAAGGCTCACGTGGATTGTACTCCTTCAATAAGGAGCTCTACCTTTGTATGATTTCACACCTGCACCGTGCAGCACACGTGTTGCTTGTCAATTGTCAGGATGGTCTGGGGTCTAAGGCAGCTCTATCATTTTGGATCGCCCAATGGACCTTGACCAACTTGGTCTACAGCTTTTTCATGGACCATGGTCTCTGACAGCAGGGCAAACATTGTTGCCCATGGGCTGTACGGTTGCAGAAATGTTCATTTGGATTGTAAATGTTCAAGTGTATAGATCTATCTAGACAAGTCATGGATTGACCATCGATCTTTGATCCACTCATTCTAGAGGCTTCCCACATGATGTTCAAAGACTATGTCTCTGATGGTCTTTTTTGGCCTGCGAAACATAGTTGGTTTGCCATATGACATGCTACAGCTTGGTGCTCTGCAAAGCAACACTCCCGGAGCAGCTGAGCTGCTGCCGGTCACTCGTCTCTGCACAACGCCCCTGTAGCAAAAAGGCCACTCGTTGCAACACCCAACAAAATTCCGCTGCTGCAGTCTCTGGGTTCAGTATCTCAGCAATTATAATGTATTGAGTGAATTCAAGCAGACTTTAGCAGCGGTGACAGCGATGTGCTTTACAAATAAGATGCACATTACAAGTGTTTCAAAATATTCTCTACAAAAGTGCTCTCTGGAGCCCCATCTCCTGCGGGATCGTCTTCCGAAGCGGCAACAAAGACCTCTTTGACAACCATATCATCGACAATAATTGCATGCCTCTTGCAACGTGGATTGCCAAGCGCTTCCATCACACGCGAATCTGTCAGCTCCATGCCGATCTCCTTCGTGAGAAGAGAGCTGGTGTCTCCATAAAATGACACCATGGACCCATCTATCTTTTGGTCCTTCCCCCAGGCATCCATGACGGCGCAGTCGTTGACGCAGTACACAATCACATCAGAGACTCCCTTGGCCTTCAGTTCAGCTTGCTTGGCCAGGTAGCCAGGCACTTGTCTTGAAGATCAGGTGGGGGTGAATGCCCCCGGAAGACCCACCATCACCACCTTCTTGCCACCAACGATCTCTGAAAGCGGCACCTTTTTCGGTGGGAATCCTTTGTCCAAGGTCACGTCGGGAATCTTGTCACCCTTGGCGATTGGAGCAGACGCACCAGGGCAAGGCCGTTTATTGCTCATGATGGAGGTGGGAAACAAAAGCTATCTTGAAATGGACTCTTGTCATGATGGATATGTCCACATGGCCAATCTGTGACCTTTTTGATTTTTCATGCGTGTACTGCTACCATTGAGCAAAAATACGCATTGCATGGTGTTCCAAGCTCATGGGTGTGCTATGGAATCTTCCAATTTATCCTAGTCTTCGCAAAAGTGACATGCACCTTCAACTGCGAGGCAAACAGGGGCATTCAACATGTAACTGCGGCTCAAAACATGTGCACTGCATGCTACCTAATAGCAATGGCCTCCAACCTAACAGCGATGCCAAAACTGCATTCATTTTGTCTTGCGGCGTAGCGAAGTCGGAATCCACCCAATGTTGCATCTGAGGATTCTGAAAGCAGCACTCACAGGTCCATGAGAAGTATGCTTCCAATGACCTGGTCACTCGTGCCTGCAAAGCCCTTCTTTGTGGAAGCAAGCACGTGGTTCCTTCTAACTTCTTATCTCCAAAACCAAAAGTTTACATACGATTGACCCCAATCTCTGGCACAGAAAGAAACATCATTTGAATATATAGCTTGCTTTGGATGCATATGGCTTGAATATGCTTCAATCACAGTAATTCTCTTGGATCTATCAAAATTCTACCTGTGCCAGTGACAGCGTCCTCCCGGCAAAAGCTTTACAAGTGTGCCAAGATGTTGTCGACAAATGTGCTCTCTGGAGCGGCATCTCCCGAGGGATCGTTCTCTGATTCTGCAACAAAAATCTCCTTGACCACCATGTCTTCCACGATCATGGTGCTCCTCTTGCAACGTGGATTGCCAAGGACTTGGAGCACCCCTGGATGTTTGAGTTCCAATCCACACGCCTTGGTGAGAAGCGAGCCACTGTCTCCATAACAGGACACGATGGACCCGTCAACCTTCAGGTCCTTTGCCCAGGCATCCATGACGGCGCAGTCGTTGACGCAGTACACAATCACATCAGAGACTCCCTTGGCCTTCAGTTCAGCTTGCTTGGCCAGGTAGCCAGGCACCGTCTTGTTAGATCAGGTGGGGGTGAATGCCCCCGGAAGACCCACCATCACCACCTTCTTGCCACCAATGATCTCTGAAAGCGGCACCTTTTTCGGTGGGAAACCTTTGTCCAAGGTCACGTTGGGAATGCTAGCACCCTTCGTTATTTGCGAGTTGCCCATTGCTGGAAAATGAAGCAAACGAGAGCTTCAGCAAAGAAAGCACTGTCTCTCTTTTGAACCACAATTCAGTGCAAAAAAGAAGATCCAGCATGAAGTCGCTGCGTCAATTGGAATCATGCTAGCCTACGGAATCCTCAGGGGCTCGCTCTGTTTCTCCATGTTCCGCTCGAGAATCAGCATTTCGAAGGCTTTGTACAAGCTATCAGCTATCACTACTGCTTGCCCCTCTTCTCTCCCTTATTGTCTGGAAACCACAAACGGACAGTTACCTTTCAGATCCTTTCATCGCATCTCTTGAGACCAAAGGCATGAAGCAGCACCTCTCGCTCAAGAGCCCATTCAAATCATGCGGCTTTCTGGTACCTCCCAAATCATTTGACTACTGCGATCAACAACGAATACGAAGGGCACGCCATCAATAGGAGGTCACATCTTCTGCAACTCCTCCACGGCAAAAAACATCAGCACGGTGTGACCGCCACACCTAAGCACATGGAAAACATGTTCGAGACTTCTTAGTGACAATAGAATAGGACCTAGCGACCTTGTCAAAAATACCTTCGGGCTATGCTTCGCCGAAATCGAACATCATAACTCTCCATGAACTGGACGCGTTAAGAAAGTACAAACCCAAATGATACCAGTACCTATGCAGCAAAGAAAGAATGCTCCCAAAACGATGGAATGATGGGAAAGGCTGCATGACGATCACTGAGAATGATAGACCGGATTCAGAAAAGGAACGGCTTGAGGATCACGATGACGAGTAATTGCAAAGGACGCTGATCAAAATAGTTATTTGGCCGAAACTCAGCATGAAAAGCCATCTCAAACTGTCAGCAACCCAGAATGCGACGCCTGAGGAAGTATGGGAAAAAACCATTGTAGAGGGCGGCAGCACCTTCTTTGCCTTCCATTGGGTGGAGCACAGGACAGGCAGTGATGTCTATTCTTCAACGCTGGATAGGTGGACTGGGAGCAGCATCAGATTCACTCTGCCCTAACTTCTGAACAGCTTGCACCTGCCACTGTCTGAATTGTTTGCAAAGTGCCGCGGTACCTTGACAGGCACCATCAACGTTCTAGAACCCTTTGCGACAACACCAGTGATGCCAAGCATTTGAGTGTGTTCCTTTTCACTCTCAAACAACTCATGAACAGCCGGCTCACGGCAGCTTTCCCGTCTCCGGATCAGGCTTTTGAGACGCCATCCGGTTCTTCGCTGACTGCACAGGCAATGTCACTGAGAGCAGCTAGAGTCTAGAGAGGCTCTTCTAAACTCAGTCTCACCTGCCTCAAATGGCATGGTGATGATGGAATAGACCTTGTATCAAGGGAAACATGCAGCCTGAGATGACCTCACAGAACCATTTGGCATCTCAGCTGCCAACCAACCCTGCTGTGAAAGATGAAGCCACCACGTTGCCACTGCCCTGTGAAAAATAGTGAAAAATATCTCAAGATCCCTTCAGTCAATGACTTTTTGCACTGATAGCATCATCAGGCATGAAACTGCAGCAGCTGGCCTTGATTCCCAACTTTCCGTAAATAGATTTAAACTGGTCGTAGGTCGCAACCTGCCCAGTAGAACAGTCAGGCAATCTCTTGTTTCCGTGGTGCAAATATAATTTGGTTTGGGGAGTGTCAAGTCGACTTGACTAACGCAAGGCTATGCATGGGTGCAGGGCTACACTCCGTTGCTTCATCAGCATGCCCGGCGAGTTTCAATTTCCTTTCCCATTTCTCCTCGACCGCCGCAAGCTGAGTGTAAACTTTGCAAGCTGACTCAGCACATCAGAAAGCTCTGGCGGAAGCGGAGATTCGATAAGGAGTGGCTGGCCTCAAGGGGGGACGTTGGCTCATCTGACTCATCTGCACTTATATAAGGAAAGCATTTGTCGATCTGAAAACTGTGGAACGACCTCTGAAGAGCACATTGTCCACAAATTACTTGAATGAGTTTAACTTGTTCCCGGAACTCACCAACTTAACAGATTCTGAACTTGAACGAACGCATGAACCCTCAAAGCCTCACGGACCCTTTTTTAAGCCAAAGCCGGGGTTGGACACGTCATGCTATGTACAAGACCTACATCCAAGCACCCCTCCTAAACCTGTCTGTTCTACAGGCAAGTCTTCTCTCACCCAATTTCTTTGCGAGCTGGACAGGCGCGTGTCTGCGTCTCCGACAAGTCTCTGCGCTCAAAAGTTTCGTGTAAAGGTCTGCGACATACTCCCACTCGAACTCCTTGCCCTAAGTTTCTGCTGGACCCGGAAATAGTGGGTCTGAACACGTCTGGTCTTTCCCAGCCCACGTCGACTGCACGTTCCCTGGCTGCACTCGAGTCAGAGAGAACCATGCAATCCAACTCAACTCCCCACTCTCGAAGAGCTTTTGGATCCCAAGCAGTGACGCCGACGCCCTGACCCTGGTGTAGTATTTAGACTCTCCTGAAGAAAGGGGTATCGTAATCTGAAGTCGAAGAGGATTTCAAAGTGCGTTGCCCAGACATGGTGGATTTTCTCGCGCGGACTGCACACCATGGTCACTGTCTGTGAACGCGTGGATCTTGCTATACATCGGTCGCGGTTTGAACTCTTGAACAACTCGTGGCTTGCCCAGCAGGTATCTGCGCCGAAGCTCTTCAGCTTCGCCCCACAATCTTGCACAAATCTCCTCTGTCTAAACCCAGAAATGCTGCCCCCATCACCAATGATCCGTAGGTCGCCTGATCGCTGTCCCAAGGCCCCGACTCAGTGGGCTACTTCATCGCTGGAGTGCTCAGTTCCTGAGCACCTTCTAGCTCACGGGTGTGCATGCCGTGGGTCAAGGCACTTCGGGAGGCGAGAGACTGCACACAAGATGTCTCGTTTGACATGTCCCACCTCGTCTTGTGGGGCGTACGCAATACCGCTCTTTTGCTTAAGAACCTTTTGCCTTTGCGCAAGATTGCGCAGTGCTGTTTGACCAGCGCTTGATGTCCTCGGCTTTAAGTCAGCTTTTCACACCTGCGCTCTTCTGCGCTTTTTCATTCTTCGTTGTCCAGTGCCTTGAGGCCACAGGTGTTGTACAGGTGAATCTCATCGGGTCCTTTCGAGTATGGCGGGCGTTGCCGGTGTTTGCTTTCAGCTGTCAAGGGCGACTCATCCAATGCTCGGTAACATACTGCGTGTAATTACAGCACGCTTTCCTGCTTACCCCGGAATGGCGTTTGCAAATGGTGTGTTTGCTACGCGTTAGTCATTACACGCTTCCCTTTGACCGCCTGACTGAGCACGGGAGTCTTCCCGTGGAGTCCGGTCTTTGTACCTGGCGGAAGTTGGCGTTGGCCAACAGGGATTCGACGCATTTTGTGCGTCTGCTGAGGCTCCAGCGTCTGTTGAGGTGATTTTCTCTGCGCGCGCGTGCACGAGCACTACGGCGCCGGCCTAGTTGCTCATGCCAAGACATTCTCTTGAGCACCTTCTAGCTTCAACTGCTTCACAATGATCTTTGCGCGTAGGGTCTGCCTCGTACGTCAGCACCCCTATGGATTTAGATTTCTGTTCAGCACGTTCACCGTGCCATCTGACTCTTCTGGGTTTACGCAACGGTCCAGTTGGAATTCAAGTTTTGAGGCTAAGATTGGCGAACGGTCTTCTCGATGCGCACTCATCGCCCGAATGACGAAGTCATCACTGTGAACGAGAAATCTTGCCAGACTCGACATCGTAGAAGATCGACAGCCACGCCGTTCCAGCTTGTATTCCATGAGTCTTGGGAAGTTTACTGCACGTGGGCTGCCAACCGAAAATCGGCACTGCATCCTGGGTCCGCTACATGCTTTGACAAAATTCGCACACTAGCCTGCTGTGGCTGGAAGGGTGTATACTGCACGCTGTCAATTGCCGTAAAGGTGCGCATGGCTTTTAACAAACAACTTCAACGTGAGCGCTTTTGCACGGCCGCTGACCATCATGGAAGTCATAGCGAACAAAAAGCGCTTTCAGCGCCTCCAAAAGCAAAGCTCTCGCATTCTGGGACGCCCTGACCTGGAAGCGCCTGAGTCTGAGTTAGTTCTCCTTCACATTGTCTCCCTTGTCCCAAGAGTGATAGGAGGTCGCCCTGTGGTGGGATAGCACTCATCAAACGGCACTTTTGCGTACACCGGCTGATCCATCTCAACTTGCCTGGCTGCTAGGACTGCTTCTTTGCGCAACGTAGCCCCAGTGACTGCGTCGAAGTATTCATATGGTTCATGATGCGCTGGGGCATCCAGCCTGTTCTCGAACGCATTTGTCTCTCCATCCGGACTAATCCCCTTTTACCGAATCGAAGTCTGTATACCGATGGACCGATGGACATGCGAGCGTTGGCCATCACATTGTCTAGCAAAAACTGCTGCCAGCAGTGGAAATCGTGAGGTACTGCGCCTCTTGCAAACAAACCCTGGGCCCTGTTGGTCTGCAGCCTTCACGCTCCACATGGGCGCAACGCTCGGACCTCAGGTTCTTTCCAAGAGCTCGATGCTTTCAGATGGTCACGCAGGAAAAACATCCCTGTGTTCAGCTACTTGATGTGGCCTCTGCACGCTCCTCGGAGACGCGTTAAGTTTTAACAGCCTTCTTGATAAAAGCACTTGTCGAGCTCTCCAAAACTGAAAGAATATGGCAATTTCAACTTGTAGCTGGCAGCCTTTTCGCGCGAATCAAGTTCCAAAGCCTGCGGGTTTTTTGCGATTTCATGTATATTGCGAAATGCATGTCAGTCAAGCGTCAATTTCTGTTGCGAATTCAATTTGTCAGTGGCAACCTTTTCGCGCGAAATGCGTGTCACGTGTCAAAAAACTGCAGGAATATTGCTACTTCAAGGTGCCCGGGAGCTGTGGCATCAGAATTAGCTACCTGGTGGTGTTACATTGTTGCATCTAGTAATCTAGTCTGTTCCACACCGTGTGGCCAAATTAAGTCTGCGATTTCGCTGCGCCATGTGGCTTTCCGCGAAGTGCGTTTGCGTGCCATTGGGGCAAGGAAAGCGTGCTGGTGTAAACGCGGCGTGTCCGTGTCGCTGGGGAGCGGGATGATTCGCGGCGCCTGCGAGGCTTGCGGTTACATTGTTGTATCTCACCGTGCGGTGAAATGTCCTGTTCCATGGCATCACCTGCGCGACGAGAGGTGAACGGTTGCAATCGCTATGTGTAAAGGAGTCCTCCTTTGACCCTTATCGACACCCTTCTCGTTGGCATCTGCTTTGTGTTGCAGCAGGAGCTACAGAATGCTTTACTCGTTCCAGAAGCAGCCTCGCGCTGCCTCCCATTTTTTGCCGGTGAGGTGAGGCCTCACTGGGATCCGTCCTAGTAGCACAATTGTCCATACATACATGCAACCTGTTTCAGGCGTCTCCCACATAATTGAGTTGTATGAGAAATGAGCAAATACTTCTCGAAGTGTCACAATCGATGTTTATATACCCTTTCCCACCTCTCTTTTCCAATATTGTTGCGCATTTATTAGTTTATCGCTGCACTTCTTAACTTTTGTTACACCCCACTCTATTTGCGTAGGTGCTGTTACTGTACCATGCGGTTTGGCGCTGCTGCCTCCTTATGTTCACTTCGATTTCTTCTCAGCGTCTCTGATCTCCCACAACTCACAACTCTTTTGCTCTTTGATCGCAATGTAAGCATACATTACACCAGATGGACCCGAATCTCACTCTCTTTCACTTCCTCTTTCACCTCTAAACATGCTGTTCAACCCCCACCTCTCTTTCACCTCTTCCATGTCCACTTTCATCCTCACGCACGCACGCCTCATGCCTGAAACACTCTGCACCTCTCTCGGTCCATCCGTCGTCGACCCTCTGAGGAGACCTCCATCACTGTAGGATTCTCAGGGCACAGCCTCAACGGTTTGCAGATCTCTCCGGTAGAACCGGAACTTTCGGCGCCCACAGCCACGGGAACGATGCCGGAGGTTACCTGATGCTGATGCCAGCCACTGGCATCTTCAGTTCTTGTGAAACTGTCCGGAGAGCCTTCCCGGTCTCAAAAACCACAGGGCTTCTCAAAAGCGAGGACTCCAGGCGCTTCCACAAGGAGTTGGAAACTCTTCAGCTTGTGACCCACCGGTGAGTCTCTCAGAGGTTGATCACCATCCCACAGGATTGATCGAAATTGCTTCAGCACATCTAAGGCACGGGACCGGCCAAGTAGCTTTTGAACGCTCGCAAGCGCTGACCCAGCTTGCATTCCCGTCTCAGAGGACTTTTGCGGGATTTCCTGGGTCATCTCCATAAACAAGGCCAAAGCAACATCCCATTTCGCTGAGGGCTCCTGTCAAACGAGGTACCCAATTTTTGATGAGCGGCGTCAGGAGCCTGTTTCACCCACGAAAGCAAACCAATTCATCATAATTCATCTACATACGTAACATATAAGAAGTTTAATTCAATTTAATGTATTTTACCTTTGAGTCAAACTACATCCCAATAGATCAGCCCCGCGTCGTTGAAAGGTTTGACCACACGCTAGCTAAGGCACACAAGAGCTGATTGCAGCTGTGTAGGTCACTTCCTTGGGAAAAGCCGGCAAAGGAAGTGTGCAGGGGAGTCTCAAACACCCTCGACATTGATAAAAGCATTCTTGCCAACGTTCTTCTCAGCCGCCTGTCTCAAATTCTTCCAAAATGCTTAAAGCCTCAAGGGCCGTTCACGCAAACGCCCTGGCCTAGTCATGGAAACAACTCCAAACAGATTGACATGTCAAGTTACAAAAGATTGTTCTACTTCCCTAACTTTCAGCCAGCTGACCGCGTCCCATCAGCCGCCCTTTTCAGCAGCGGCAACAGCAGAGTTGGCGAGGATGACATCGAGATCGCCCGTACCTCAGCACCCCGGACGGCATCTTGACAAGCGCATTGGTCACCACTGGCCCCGTTTGCACATCCGAATGCTGTGATGGTGTAGGCGCTTCGCGTGATGCTTGGTCCAAACTGCCTGCAATTTAGGGGCAGGGCAATGCTCAAAGTAGAGAAGCAAAGCCATCTACCATTTTCCAACCCCTTCACAGGCAGTGACAGGCGCGCTCAGACCGATAGTGCCTATGGGGACGCTGGCCTGGCGACATGAACAACCTGCAAAGCCACTTGGCACTACACGAGGGAGTGCGCTTCCCAACTATAGACTGTGCCTTTTCAAGCCAAACGCTCTTGCCTTTAAGATATATGTGTGTTTGATGTATCGATACCTGTGGCATGTTGTTGAGCAAGCTCAAGGGAGCTTCTTCCCACTGGCCCCCCTTCTCGCAGGCACTGATCGCAGCGCAAAAGGATATTTCATCCTTCACACCACGTTCACAAAGATTCTGTTCACGCCATGATCGACTCGTCTGTCGGTGGAATGATGAGATCGCTTGTTTTCATGTTGCCTGTCTTGGTGAACTTCGCACCTCTTTCATGGTTTGCTGCGATCTCCAATCGCTTGAAGCTTATGTTGGCAAAACTGCAGTCCTGAGCAACACCTGGCGGAGCGCCCATCTCAAATGATGCATATGAATGTTGGAGCTTAACCAGCAGCAGAGCCGTTTAAGTGCCAGAAATGTAGGCCTATAGAACTACTGGCACGTTGGCATCCAGAAGCTTGAAAGCAAAAGGCACCTGCCTTCTTCAAGCGTGTCCCCAAACAGCACTAGCGCGCATTGCCTTCCAGGCAGAGTGCTGTGCAGTCACCCAAGGAAGTCCTCTGTGCGTGAACCTGTGTCAAATTGCTCAAGTGTGATAGAATACCGGCATTACAACAATCTGGTATGAACAATATGCGTTGCTGGGATAACCAATGTCCAACGACTAAGACCCTTTGACAATTGCGCGCGCACAAAGCCATGACTTTGGCCACCAACCACGTGTACAACTATAGTTGCGGTCAGAATGTGGTTTATTCACTATTGCCTTGAACACACAATGCGTGCAATCGTAGAACCAAGATGTGTCGCGTCCATATTTTTTTACAAGATTGCTGGCTTCTAGGCGCTACCTCTGCTTGCGCGTGACTTCTCAAGCTCAATATGTATGTGACAGATCTGCGCGCGCCGAATTGATATAGCAACATGGCGATAGCTACAAAAATTACAAAAGTGTTTGTTGCTCAATAAATCAATACGAACAAACTCAACAAAAAGCGCAGCGCCTTCTGACAGGCACTCATGGCAGCGCAGTAGGTCACTGTCACTGTCACTGTGTTCCTGCGCGCCATGGACTGTAAGCTATCTGACTGGCCGAAACATCACCTGGTGACCTGGCCCTTCAATGCTCTCATGGGTCATTTGCTCCAAAATCTGCAGCGCCAGTAGCCATTCTCCTCCTTTTTCACAGGCACCAATGGCCTCAGCAAGGTTGAAAACAAGTGCTGTTGCGATACCCATACCCACTCTAAGGGAGCACGCTGCAGCAAGCAATGGTGTTCTTGGCGACCGTTGCACCTGCAGTTCCCACGCTGGTTACCACTGACAGGTGTTTCAAGCTTGAAACTGTCCCATGCCTCCCATGCCGGCAAGCAAAAACTCGATCAAGCGGCGGTGGCTCGGCTCGTGAGCACGATGCGCTCCAGGATATCCTACGTTGGAGCGTAGGACGGTTTGCAAAGCTCACGGATGTTGTGGGTGAACTCACCACCTATTTGGCCACGGTGAGCGAATTGGACGCAGCTGGAAAGCAGAGGGTCGAAGATATGCTCAAGAAGCTGCGTGAGATGTCCAATGCAGTGGTGGGCCTTGGTGCATCCCACAGGTTTGTGGCGGATGAGACGGCCCGCGATCAGAAGACGGAATTGAAACATTTGGAAAACCTGGTTTGGCAGGTTAGCGGATCAGGAAAAGGAGTGAACACGTCACTGAAGGAGTTAGTGACTGGAGTGGGACGTGTTTTGGGACAGATAGATGGCCAACTGTCCCGAAACGCCAAGACCATGGAGGAGAACGGCAAGCATGTGGCCGCGGTGGTGGAGAAACTTGTGAAGATCGAGACCGGAATCCAGGCCTTAGTTCAGAAGGCTACCTTCAGTCGGAGTGGCAGTGGAGGAACTCCAGCGACTGAATCCGGTGAAGAATGCGTTTCCTCCACCCCCTCCACATCTTGGGCAAACTACTCCAGTGGCGCCAGTACTGCCAACAGTGCCTGGTTGCAAGGCACTCACCGCCACACTGCAAAGCTTGAGCTTGTTTATAATCTGCTCAATCTCGGGATCAGCCATACTGGGCACAAAGAGTCATTCCAGTCTCTCCCCGTTGGCCTCCTCCCGCCGGGCAGCTTTCTCGCAGGAGATGACGTTTGCTGCCAATTGAGCCATTGAAACACAGGAAGCGCTTCGACCCGTCGGCCACCTGAGGAGGACTCTGACTCTGCCGAATCAGACTGGCAATGACTCCTCTCACAGGCGCTAATGGCCGAGTTGTAGGCGAACGCCTGCAGGTCGCGAAAAAGTCAGCGCCGAGCGTAGCAAATCTGCAAGCCTTCGCGCTCCGCATCCTGAAGCATCTGAGTGTCCGGACATTTGGCTTGACCCTGTATAAGCAGAGAAAGGGCCGCCTGCCATCGACCTGCCTTGCCATCGGCCATTGCCCACGCAGTGCAAGAATGGAACGAAAAACACTCAATAATGACACACCTAGCAGCCTCAAGCCTTTACAGTTGCAGAGGCCTGGTGCACAGTGACTTCCAAGCAGCTCCTGGACGCGATCATCACAATCCTCCGTATCTGGATACAACTCTATGAACCAGCAAGAAGCTACTAGCAACAAGGGCATCGCTATTGCGTAGCAACAAGCAGCTGCTAGTAGCTAGCAATAAATTGGGCACCAGGCCTCAACATTTCGCTCAAGAAGGCAATCGCGAGGGTCCACTGAGCGGCTTTGGCCAAAGTCGCGACGCCTCAAATAGCGCCGGACAGTTCTACGAACCGATACTCTCAGATCTCTAAGGCCTCGTAGCGTAGAAATGCATAGCAAGTGTTTCCTAATTTAGTTCTTTTTTACACCCGAGGCCTTTTTGAAGTTGTTCTTGCAAAGACAAAGAATAAGTTTCTCTTCTACGCTCTTCCTATGCGTCCTTCTTTCGTCCCCACTTAATTAACCACGCGCACCTGTTTTGGCAAGACCAAGTCGGTCCCTAGAGCACGTGCATCAGCTACCCTGGGCTTGAAAAGGAGTCTCAACGCCGGCGTCGACAGAACTTCAAGGACGATGAAGGAGGTTATCGTTGTTCAACTTCAAAAGAATCATAATGTTCGGAAAGGTGAATGAAGAGACTTGGTGCGACTTCCAGAATCTAAAATGTTCAGATGCGCCACTCCTTATTGCTATTGTTGTTGCCGTCAGCAAGAAGAAAACTCGCCTCGTCATACTCCTGGATCCATCTCTGGTCAACTTTCGCTCGATATCTTTGCCTCAGAAGAACGAAATTGGAACGGGCCTCTTGTGTACAACACAGATGTCGGAAAGAAAATTCTCACCTGTCGCAGAATGCGTTTACAACTTACACAACAAAGGCCTCACTGTCACATCATTTGCCACACACGAGCCTGTCGCCAACACCACCAGGCTCCGCTCCTTTTCAAGCATCCTTCCCCCGACTGCACTAGTGTTCAATGTACCTACAAACTTCAAGACTCTTCATGCAAATCTGCGATGAAGGCGCAATCAGTTAGCCAAATTCATCACTGGCAGCAACCGAGAGCGGTGAGTCATAACATCCACTCTGACATGTTCTTCCTGTTCAAATGAGTTTAGAGCTACACACACGGTCCGAGGTCGTCTTTTCCAAGAATGAGAATCGCAGTGCTCGCTGTGAAAAAGCTAAAGAGATGCAAGGCCGAAGCTAGGCCATTCCTGCTTGTCCTCCGGCCGAGAATCAAAAGGAATCTAAGCCTAAGCATTAAGCATAATTCTGCCTAAATGTATGACATTCATGGTTCAACCTGGCTACAACCGTGCTCTCCAAGAAAAAAACTCATCTCAGCACGCAGGCAACCCGCGGCTGTGAAGTCGAACCTCACATCGATTACTGTGGTTCTTTAACCCCAATCCAAAACTCAAATGAAAATACATAATGGAAAGCATTTCTGGGTAAATGTCCGGTTGACTTGTTGAGGCAAGAACGTGGGACATTATTCTGGGCTATCCTAGAGTTTGCAATCGGGCAGTCTGTACATGTCACATGGTGAGAACACCAATCGGTCACCAATCGATCACCGATTAGAAAAAGCAAGTGCGGCGGTGACGTGCGGTCGGCGGCACCAAAGGCACCTGACACATCTGAAGACAGGCTTTCACTTTCGAACCGCGCGGTTTGTAACAGGAGGCGAAAACAACGAAACCATCTGGCGGTAGCCAAAACTTGAAGCCTCATCAAAACGATTAAGTTGACGTTCTGTGCACCTCAGCCCTCTTGCACACCACTTGTTCTGCGCAAAGTCCAGGGCCTTTCTGATCTTGCTGCTCTATGAGTGTTTCAACAAGGATGACGCAAGCAGTAGGAGCAGCCTAAAGATGCGCATGTGTTCCACCACTAAGGAGGACTGTTCCTTTGACAAAGTTTGGTCGGACAGTTCGCGCCTGGGCTGCATCCGCTACCATTGCGCGTAGTCAAACAGTCAGATCATCCTGGAAGGCCAATGACATCAACACCCTGCGCAGTGTAAGTTGTTGCGCTTCCTCTTCATTGCTGGCTTCTCTGTGGTCAGACTCGTCCATGGCTAGAACCGGGGCAGCCAAAGCACTCAGGCGCAGCAGCTCCTGTCCCGAGGCTCACACTGAGACCCTGTGAGCTTTTGACAATACAGCATAGCTATACAGACAACCTCCTAGCAATGGCCTCCAACCGAATAGCAATGGCCTCCAACCTACTACTAGCGATGGCATCCAAAAATACGGCACGGCTTCATTTAGACTTCTACAATATCCAGTGGCAACAGTTTACGCAAGCAAAACTACGTGACAGAAAATGGATCTCCTTCTGGCAGACTTCAACATCCGTCGCTTGATCGTTGATGTCATCATGAATGAGTTCTTGCTCAAGTTGGTGCAATACCTCAGCTCTCATCACACAGATCTCTTGCACGACAGCTCCTTTTTCTCACCACCTCCTTTGCGTGGCCAAGGAGCTTCATTTGCTCTGGCCAGCTCCTCTCGCAACGCCGCATTCTCAGCCTTTAGCGTTTCAGCGTTCAATCTCCCCGAAGGCCCATCACTTGGAGGCTTGATGGGCTTTGGGCAGCTCGTTGCTCGAGCCGATCCTACCGCCAAAGGCCTTTCGAGTTCTGCCGGCGCCGGAGAGCATAGCCATAGCTTGGGTCGCTCTTCGCCGGCGCAAAAGCACCACCTTTGACGCGTGGATTGGAGAAGCTGCGCACGGATGACCGGGAGCCTGTCAACGGAGTCGCTTGGTGACCTAGCCATTGAATGAACTGACCTCGAGAACTGCCACCACTGGGGCTTGATCGCACATTGGCTGTGCGCTTTGGTTGTGGAGCGAGACCATCGCGCACCAAGGCGATGGCGCGAGACCTCGGCGTCGGCGCCGAGTAGGACAGAGCCGGTTCGGAGCGAGAGTGCGCCGTGTGGCACCGAACAGGCTCCGCGAGACCGGATTCTCGCGAAGGGCTTTGGCCCCGTGGCGCCACCGGGATTGCTGCGTGGATTCCATCGCGATCGTGTGGGCAGTGGGTGGACCTGTGTCTGGCGGCCAAGCCGAGTTCCGAAGCAAAGCCGAAACTGGACGAGTCGCCATAGCTTCGCTCTGTCGGAAAGCTGGGCGAATCGTCACTGCTGTGTGGCGCTGTGCAGAACTGTGGGTGATCTGCTAGACTCGCTAGACCAATTCTATCAACAAAAAACTTCGGGGAGTCATGGAATATAGACTACATTCTGCTATTAGTATCGGATGTAGGCTGTAAGTCAATGAATGTTGGCATGGTCTTCTCTCGTTCGAAAGTCTTGAGCAGACTTGGCTGGGTCAAGAATCACAAGACCGATACCATCAGCGGTGGAAAAACGCACAGTCCGCGCCTGACCATCCAAGAACCCATTGAGACGGCTTCAGTGATTCAGACTTCCTTTCTTGCGTTGTCGATACCTCTAATATTGATCAAGAAGGTCACCGTGTCTTGAAAATAGAGTTCCCAGTAAATGTGTTGACTTGGCGGGAGTGTTTTGACGGTGTTTTGCTGTGTGCAACATACTCTGTGGCATTGAATCAACAAACTTGGACATTGTGAGTCACGGGCATCCTCTAAATTGATGCCAGCGCTTGAAAAGCCAAAATCAGGGCAAAACAGGACTTGATGAGATTCTGCTGACTGATATCTGTCTTCTCCAAGCAGTGCCTGAGTAGCACCGACAAGGCAAGCTCGCGTGACAAAAGGCATGCTGCCACGCCAAAAGGCAGTGACCTAGGTTGCAACATGCGTAACTTTTGCTAAACCCAATGTAAATGAAACTATGTGAAGAACTCCATGGCCTTTGCGCAAAGTATCCTTTTTGCTGTGTTGGTACATAAGTAGAATAAGGCTTGTGCACCTTCTTCTCGTGCGATGCGCTGGGCGCAGTCTACGACTCCCTACAAGCACAAGGGTGACGAGCGATTCTGAGCTGACCCTCAGCTGACCATGTCAGTGCCTTGTAGTTCCGTCGCAGAGATGGTTCAAGGGTAGCGTCGTTCGACAAGCGTACAAGCGAAACCTGTCGATAAGCAAGACGGAGCTTCTGCGGCTGAAAGGTGAGGATCATTGAATAAGTTGGTCTCTGAGTCTCTGGAAGGCTAAAGCCCCAAACAAAAAGCAGTCTCCAATCAACCTCGAAATTGTACAAGTGTTGAATATCTAAATTACCTTGCAGGGTGTTACATCCACTCTTCATATTTCAGGGTGGTTGCCCAGATGCCGTACCAACTGTTTTTCAGTTGTGGTGGCAGGACAAATCATCTTGGGAACCTGTCCAATCTACGAAGCTGTGGCCTCGCAAGGGCAGGAGATTAAGGCAGCAAGTCCACCAGCAGCAGTGGCCTTGATGTGAACAAACAAAAGTCCGAGAAAGCGTCCTTGTTTGTAACTAGTCAGGTCCAAGATAAAACGGCCTTTTGGCTCAGACATCTTCAAAAAGCTTGGCTCATCATCTTGCGCTGGTTGAGATCTGAGGTCCTCACACAAGACAAACGGGAAACAAAGTCCACCTGCAGCAGGATAGGATGGCCACGCAAAAAAAAAAAAGAGTTCTGGCAAGAACCCACGAGTCCCTGATCAACTAACATCTGCTGCAGTGGAAGGAGTAACACACATGTCCCTCATCTGTGGTCGGGTGAGGGATCACAAAAGAAGTAATAGCATCAATAGAAAAGTCATTGATGGGGTTCAAAAAAATGCCAAAAAAACAAGTGGGCAATGAATGGAAAAAGAGACGACCAGGAAAGGATAACAGCAGCAGAGCAATATTTTGTGTGAACATGCGATCGGCAAACCTCGCATGTTTGACCAGTGGACCAAGAGGCCAGCAGACCAACACAAGGGCCAGGGACCAAAGGACTAGAGCCAGGGGACCAAAGGACGAGGGGATGAAAGGACCAGGGACCAAAGGAGCAAGGCCGAAGGACCAGGGGACCAATGGACCAGGTTTATGTAAGGCTTTATGTCGCGCTCTAGTTGTCCTGAGATGCGGGGCTGTCAGGTTTTCGCCCGACTCACATTGCTCTGTGCTGTGCACTCCCTCTGTCGAATCTTTGTCACAAGCATTCATGGACCAGTCAGGCCTAGCCAAAAAACATCAAAAAAACGTGTCAGCCACTCCGTCGAGGGGCTGCTCGGGGAATTCAATGAATGGCAATCAGTGCAGGTTCAGGTGGCCCAATTTCAAAGGGAGGGTCACCAAACCTGTCAAAATCATAATCGCCAAACCGTCATGACCAGGATGGTTCCATACAAAAAAAGGTCATCTTGCGTTCATATGGTTGTTGTTGCCCTCCCTCTCTCTCTCTCAGCTAAAAGAACCCATGCGTTTTGAGAGGTTGAAAAAACGCAATTGGGACATGGAAGGGTGAACTTGGAGCCAGTAGCCCAAATGCGTTTTTTGAGGTTGAAGAAGTGCACTTGGAAAGGTTCGTGGCACCATCAAAAAACAAAACCAAGGACCATGGATTGGGTCCTGCAGTCGTGCTGTGATTGCTGCCTCTACTTGGTGTAACGAACACAAGGCAGAGTGGACTTCCTAGTAAACAGCCCCGATGCAATGTCGGCAAAGTAAAAAAAAACATGTGGGACATGGGAGGATGAACTTGGAGCCAGCAGCCCAATTGCTCTTTTGAGGTTGAAACAACGCAGGCTGTGATTGTATGACACAACACTTGGAACCAAAGGGCCTGCCTGGGTGATCAACACCAGTTTCTTCTGGCACTCTACTACCAAAAACCCATTCCCAAATGCCTTCGTTCAAAAAAAATCTTCCCGCACCGAAGGTGCTGAGGCGTTGTGTAGGCTTCGCACAAGCCGCAAGATATATAGCTGCTGGTTTCATCTTGGGAGGGGCCCTTTTCATTTTGGCAAATGGTGTGCTTTTGATGGCTTTTTGAGGCTTTTGAAGAATGACAAAAAATGATATCTGATTGTCCGTGTGGCTTCCTCCGTGTGTCTTGCCCGACGGAGACAGATAGACTGACAGACCGAGACAGACACACCGAGACAGACAGACAGACAGAGACAGAGACAGAGACAGACAGAGACAGACAGACCCAGACAGACCCAGACAGACCCAGACAGACAGAGACAGACAGAGACAGACCAGACCCAGACAGACCCAGACAGATCTAGACCCAGACAGACCCAGAGACAGACACAGAGAGACAGACCAGCCAGCCAGCCAGCCAGCCAGCCAGCCAGGCAGGCAGGCAGGCAGGCAGGCAGACAGACAGACAGACACCCAGACTGACCGAGATCGTGCGTTCTTCCGTGTGTCCTGCCCGACCAAGACAGGCAGACTGACCGAGACAAACAGACGCACACACTCCGTGCGGGCGGCTTCGAGCGCGAAGCGCTGTGAATAGTCGCATCAGGGTGTCTCTACAAAACAAAGTGCCGCGACGCAAGTTCTGAGTGCCAGCACGCACAGGCACGAGTGCCGCAACGCGAGTGATGAGCCAACTCAGCTCCGGTCAAAGACTAACTTAGCAAAATAATCAATTCGTGTGTCGTTTTTTGCTTTCTTGTGTCGGCCGGCGGCTCAGTATGCGTTGGCCGGCGGCTCATCACGTGTTGTTTGACTCGGGAACCTGTTGGCTGACTCGCGCGTCGCTGTTGGCTGACTCACGCCTCTGTGTTTTCTGACTCGTGTTTGTCTGACTCGGGGGGCTGTTGGCTGACACCGTCTTCGCTCTGCTCATTTTCTCTTTTGATCTAGATGCCTCTGTGATCGGCCAATTTGAAACAATGCACAGAGTCAGTGGTAGAGCACTTTGTTTCTATCCTGATCTGGTAGGAGATTTGCCAATGCACCACTCTGATTAAGCTCTGACTGTGACTAAACAAATCCAGTATATAAGGCCCGACAGCCAAGAATAAGTTTGTCAAAAACAAGCGGCAGTCCTTTTCTGCAGCTACGAATAGTTCCCACCCCGCCTCTCTATGCTTTGCAAGCGTGTCTCTGAAGACTTGGAACCTAAGCAGCTCCGCACGCCCGAGCCACAAATGGAACCAAGTCACTCAGGCTGACAACAGCCCCAACATGTCATGGCTTGTTGCTCAGGGCCCAGCAAACCGTATCTGCTGCTGGCATAGAAGATCTGAAGGAAGGGAAATCACAGGCGAATGAAATGCAAAGAACAACCCTGCGTACGCTGTGGTCAAGCTGTCAGGCCTGTCTCCAAATACCTGCTCCAAGGCCATCATAAAGACCCATGATACCGGTCTGCAGAAGAGCGAGCGGCCAGCATGACTGCTTGCCAAACCGTAGTCACTACTATGTGGTGTATGCAGTTCATGCGAGGCATAGCAGGTGTGTTTAAAGTACTGACGTTCTTACACATTCTCTTGGCGAATGTTGTGGCTTGCACTTTTGCAAGATTCCTTTCTTCCATCCAATATGATCCAGACCATGGACTGCTTCTGTTCGTACAGTACCTCTTTTGTTCATCTGACAACAGGTCATCACTGTTTCACGTCAACAATCAACTTCAGCCTTTCTTGAGGCACTGGGGCATCCACGCTCTTCACCGTCTGAGCCGCAAAAGAGAAGAAGTTCAGCTTTGCACCCGGATTCTCAGCACACACGGCGTATTTGAGTCATCGAGCACCCAATAACAAGGAGCACTGCCAAGGCTGCTAATAAATACTGTATCCTTCTAATTGATTTGAACAACTCAAACTTTTCCAGATCATTTGAGATCTGTGTTCATCAGCAAGCAAAATACTCAAAAATTACTCGCGCTCTCGCACTCTCTCTCTCTCTCTCTCTCTCTCTGTCTGGCCTGCATGCTCGCAAGATTCATCCGAATGGCCAAAGTATTGACCTGAAATCATTGAGCACCTATTAATTCATCAGGCGTCTCAACTCTCAAATAAGGATCGAAGGAGCAATTCATTGTTCCGGTTACATATTCGCAGTCAGGCAGCTGGGTGAATGAAAATCCATCCAAAAATGCCTCCAACCTCGGCAAAGACAGGCATCAAGACAGTCCAACCCACGTCATTCCGTTCCTAAGGCTGTGGCACCCGAGGTGCTGAAGGCCACCCAGCCTCCGGTGAACGCTCTACTTTTGGGAGTGGTCGCCCTCTACAAAGCAAACGGTGTCCAAAGCTGCTGAGCCCGCCTGGAAGAGGTTTGGACGCCATCTCTGGCGAGAACAACAGCTGCAGAAAGGCAAGGGTGGACGCAATAAGTTGCCTAGAACATGCTTAAAGAGAATATGTGCAATATTGACTATATATTGAGTTCTTTTCAGTACTTGGAGGCCCTCTCTTGTCAAGATCATGGGGCCAGGTTTACACGGCGTCGGTGTGTCATACAATCCATTGCATATCAACTATGTTCCATCATGCGAAACCCA